AGGGTTCAAAATGGCGGAGTTTTCTGTCTCCTTTTAAAAGGCACTCAGAAAGCTGCGCAGTGCGACCATTCTCCGTATAGTAAAAGAAAATCAAAGTATGTGGTTCTAAGAGACCTTTAACATGTAGGTGCAATTAAAAAAATGTACAATCGAATAAATGTTAAAGTGTTTTGATAGTAAAGTGTATTCAATTATCAATCCAAAGGATAGATCACCAAACAGCAATTTTCTCTATTGTAAACTTAAATAAACTCAATAGGCCTAAAACTGAGAGTTCACACAATGCCCTCTTCCCCCTTTTGTTCGGATGTTCTAACCATAGATAAGGCGAGTGTGAATTCTGAGCTGATGTGCTGCCATCTATTAAATTGTAGTGGTACTATATTCAATATGGCCGCTAGGGGCGTTAGCTGAGCAAAAATGTAATGAAGAAAATCAAACAAAACATTAATTTAGTTTATTTTGACTAGTGTCTAAACATAACACAATCATATTATGATTGTTTTATGATTTAAAACTAGTAAAATCTTTTGCTAATTTATATTTTTATTTGATTTTTTCATTATATTTTTGCATTAATTTCAAAATCAAGACCTTTATAAAAGTTTTTCGACTTGGAGTGGCAATTCAGTTTGAAAAAAATTGAAGTTAAAGCATCGTCCATTTTGGTATCTGTTAGAAGTTATGGGTAACACTATTATTATTAATAATATTCAATTTTTGTTACATTATAAATATGTATTGATATACTGGAATATAATTTTCATATACAATTCCAAAAGTATCTTACTATTAAAGTGAATTTGAGTGTGGATAAAATTTGCCATATCTTATCGAATCCATTAGTTATGTTGGAAAAATTGCTTTATTAGATAATTTTTTTATTGATTTATTTGTGCACCACTTGGGTTTTTTCTAATTCTTATTCATCCTCTGGGCATTGTGATAAATAAATCTGGCTTTTGAGCTTAAACTTAAACAAATATTTGGACCCTTGAAGATTTTGGGGTACATTTCTTTTGTTTGATTATCAATGGTATTGAATCAATTGTTTGTGTTGAAGGCTGAGACTCACAGGTTTTAAAGATGTACAAAGTATTTTCGAGGGCCAATATTTTCATATAATCATTAAAAAATGTATAAAAAAAGATATCAAAATAACAAACCAATAATGTTAACACTGAATCAAAAACTAGTTAATAAATATTACCTACCATTGGCGCAAAAGAGTGTAAGAACTGCATTTTTCTTAGACGCTTGTTCCTAATTTTTTGGTTATCTTTAAAATGACGACAGCATGTTAAATATGAAATATAAATGACATAACTACCAATATCTTCTGTGAGGGCTTTATTATTCGTTGCTGAAACCATACATGCTGAAACCCACTTTCCCACCTTTTGAAAAGATGCTTAAATTTGGATAGTAGTGAAAATATATCTAGAATCTAGAACAGTCATACTCAATCTGCGGTCCTCCAAGCTAGGGCGGCTCCAAGATGAATTTTCAGGGGGGGGAGGGGGGTGGTGAAGGGACATTGCCTTTAATCAATCCCTTTTTAGCATATTTTTTTTTAAATAAAATGCCCATAAATCGTAAGATTTTTCATGTCGGGGTAGGCCATGGCCCTCATAGCCCCCCACTGGAGCCGCCCTTGCCACCAAGCTGTTTTGTGCGGCCCTCCAAGCTATTTTGTGCGGCCCTCCAAACTTTTTGTGCAGCCCCAAACATTATTATTAAGAATTATTAGGAATTTTTAGGAATTTTTAGGAATTTTTAGGAATTTTTAGGAATTTTTAGGAATTTTTAGGAATTTTTAGGAATTTTTAGGATTTTAAATGGTTGACTTATACTCCTTTTTTGAAAAAAATTGTCTTTGCGACTTTTCAAAGCTTATTAAAACAACTAAAACAACATGAGGACTTTTTTTAGAAAATATGTAAAACTAAAACAATATGAGGTTCTTTTTTTTTAGGAAAATATTTAAAACAGATCCCTATCGTCACCCATTGTCCTTTATTTACATTTCAAAAAGGTGGCAACCCTAGTGATCATCCAATAGCCCGTGTAGCACAACAAACATATTTATATGGCCCAAAAGAAAAAAAATTGAATACAGCTGGTCTACAGTCAAGTGCAACATCCATTTTAAACTCTTGAAGTTTTGCAGGAGTTGACAACTGACTCTGTCAAAACTGATATTTCGATATGAGCGCCATCCCGTTAATTGGAGTGGTACTAAATTATCTTCCTCATGTTTTTTAATTTGAGTTACAAGCTCTTGGTTGTAACTTGGGATTATACCTTGCACAAGCATACTGTGCTCCACTTATTTAAGTGGTATGGTCTTTTTGAGCCTGCTCATTAGCTATTAGTTGTCCAGGAACTGTAGAACCCTTCCGTGTTTTTTTTTCGATGTTTTTTCTTTCTCCTTTGATTGTTGGCATTCTCAGATCTCTGTGAAGGTCTAAGTTTCTTACATATAAGGTACGTTTACTACTGTTCTTTATATTTTGTACTGTAAACATAACACTAGTTTATTCAGCCATTTTGCATAATTCACTTTGAAAAATATAAAAAAAAAGACGCAGCATAAGTTACTTTTTAGTTTTTATTGTCTTAAGTCTGTAAAAAAGGCGTTCTATAGTATACCTACCAACTTTGTCCCGTTGAAAATTATTATAACATAGTTTTAATGGGCTTTTGCTGTTTTTACAACCCTTACAAGTTTTGTACTATAAACATATCTTTAAAATAAGGTAATATATTAAACTTGTTAGAAGTTGCCAGCTTTTTATCTTATCCCTAATTATTTTTTCCTACTTATTTTTATAAAGAGACATAAATGTAGAAATTATGTACGTAATAGCTAGGTTTAACTTTAATTTTGTTTTAATAGAGTTGTTAGATGGCTTAATAATCATTATTTGATCAATAATAAATATTTTATACAGTAATATCACCAAATTACAACTGATTAAAGGTTTAACACAACGGCAATCAGACCTGCACTGTTAATTAAAAATTAATTGGTTTGTTAGATCTTTTGAATAGTTACTTATACAGGGTGTTTAAACGCGGCTGGAAATTTACTTTTAAAGTAGATTTTCTGACAAAAACGATAATTATTTTCCTAATTTTATGGTATTTTTTATCAAATGTGGCAACCCTGTGTGTGTATCTCAGATTTTGTTGTAAATCGTATCTAAAAACTCCTTTTAAGAACGGTAGTGTCCTATAAAAACTGTAATAAATAATTATTTTGTATTGTAAACAAAGTAAAGGGAAAATAAATCTTATTTCATCTGATTTTACAATTTAAGTCTTTCTGAAAGCATTTTCTGTCGTCTGGTTTTGCTACTTTTAGTTTAAAACACATTTTTTTTGTAATTTTATTTTAGCATTCGAAACTAAAAACTAAAACCTTGTATAGAGAAATTTACAAGCTAATATTTTAAATTGAGTCTAAAGGTACATTTACATCTGACATTTATTGCATGAGATTTATGTCTGACAGTTGTTTAGTCCAGTGTACCTTAAATGATAATAATAAAATAATTTATTCACTCAAAATGACGACACAAAAACATATAAATTGCAAATATAATAATTATAAACATATAAATATAGAATTTTAATTAATTGTTACTAAAAGTAGAGTAAACAAATGCTAACCTACAAATATATAAGCCTGTCCATTGGAAATTGCATCTCATTTTATAGATATAAAAAACATAGTTAAATAAAGTTAAACCTTAAAATCTCAAAGATCTTTAAAGGTTAAAGATATCACATTCACAAGTTGTCAGCAAAAGCATCACCTGCAGGTTACTTCAATTTCTGGTCCACTAGAACTGCTATATTACTTTCTATGTGCAGGTACAGTACCAAGTCAAAGACAAGAAACTCACTGAGCTTAGGTAAACAAGCTACAATATTCTAGAAATAGATAATAAAACATAAGGTAAATGTAAAAACCATCAAGAGAGGTGTAGGACTGCCTAAAAGCCTTAATAGAGCTAGGTACCACGCCACAAAAGATATAAGGACAATGGAAAGGCTGATTTATACTCCAAGAAGTAGCCTCAAAGGCTTTATTCGGCCCAGAAATATTGGAACAATACACTAGGACAGGTACAAGTCAAGGAGGTCTTGAAAGGACCATCAGCAAAACTGAGAAATCCTATATTTGTAAAGTAAAAATCAAGGAGTTACTTGCTAGTCTTTGTATTTACCTAAAATAGGTCAAAATAGACAAAGTACTCTTACCAGTGGTCAAAGGATATAAACAATAGATCTGAAAAGGTCGAGATGCAACTACATGGCCCACAATTTTAACCTAATCTAAACCCAAACATAAAGTAAATGGAAAAACCATTGTTATATACTCAGACAATCAAGAAAGGTGTAGGACTGCTTGAAAACCTTAACAGAACTGAGTACCACGCCACAAAAGATATAAGGACAATGAAGAGGCTGATTACTAATCCGAGAAGTAGCCTTAAAGGCTCTTTTCGGCCCAAAAATATTTTGTGGTGCTACAAAGACAGCCATCAGAACATGCACAAAACATTTGATGTCAAACAAAGCTCAGAAATACACCAGAACAGGTACAAGTCAGGAATGTCTAAAAAGGACCATCAGCAAAACTGATATTTCTTTCATTTGTAAAGGAAAATCAAGAAGCTACTTGCTGCTAGTCTTTGTATTCCTCTAGAGAAAGCCAAAGTAAACAAAGTGCTCTTACCAATGATCAAAGAATATAAACAATAGATTTGGGGAAAACTACATGGCCAACAGTTCTAACCTAACTTAATATAATCCTCTACGCAGGTTGATATTCTTTAGTAACATGAAGGAAAGACCATCCTCACTCACGTATTTCTTGATCATCATACACTGTTTTAGAAAAAATTCTCCTATTTTATCATAGACCTTCCTGTTTCTTACATTATCTAGTAGAAAACTCGTTTGCTTACAATTAAATTTCTTTGTTACAGATATGTCTTCGGAGGATGCGCTGGTCCAACGAATTGCAGAACTGCAAGTTAGGATACAATATCTGGACTCGATGTACAGATCAAGACAGGAGGATCTTCAACAACTGAGCCAACATTTTGATCAATCGTTTAATGCTGACAACACTTCCAATCTACCCCATCTTCAGGATATGAAACAATTTTTAAAAAATATATCGGGGTTACACGTATCCAGTGGATTAAATCCAGGTAATTTTTTTATGTTGTTAACGGAACAAAAACGAATTTTCAATATAATTCTGTTCTTAACAATTTGTATCATTTAATACTTAACGAGGAATCACACAAATTACTATGTAAGTCGAACAAATTGAATTTACTTCTAGAACAATGAGGTCTTTCACAACAATGGGCTGACTATAAAGTACATTAAACTCGCAAAAGTACTGTACTTTAATCAATTAGTTTAAGACAGTTGTTTTTATAATTTTAAGGTCCACAAACAATATATTAGCTTTAATTTGATAGGGTGAACATTTAAAAACTAACAATGGACTTGACAATGAAACAAATAAAGAAGATGTCAAAAATTGCTCAAATCTCTTAAAAAATATAACAAGTTTTCTTTAAAAATTAATATTCTTTTTATTATATATGATTGGATACATCCTAGGATAATTTTAAATATTGAAATAAGTATTTTGAAACTGATTCACGTAACTATTGTTTCTCTTTTTAAAATCAGCTTGCGAACCGACGAAACATTTGAAGAAATCGAACAAAATGCTAAAGATTTAGCAAAATGTAATATATACAAACTTAAAGTGAACAGAATCCAAATAAAAAAGAAAACTTTCGATAAAAGTAAAGAAGTTGAAACGAATTTTGATAAAAAACAAAATATGAAAATTAACACTTTTTATTTTATATTAGATAATTTGTCATCAGAACTAATTCGAAGAAAAATAGCCTATGAAAGGGTCTCAAACACGTTTGGATTTATGGGATCGTTATGTGATCTTTCGGACAATCAAATTTCAATAGAGGCAGCAAATTTATGGCAGAGTTATCAGTCTGAACTTGATAGAGATTTTGCAGAAGATTGTATTCAATTTAAATACTTTCTAAAAGCTTTGAAGGAAGAACACAAGCTAAGATACTACAAGTTCTGAGAAGACTTAAAATAGTTGTAACATATCCAAATATCGACTCTGCTTTAAATATTTTTTGACGATACCAGCAACTAATGTTAACGGAGAAAAATCGTTTTCAACACTACGTAGAGTCAACAACTATTTAAGAAATAGTTTATTTGATTCAAAGACTAGCAATTTAACTTTATTGTGCATTGGGTGTGAACTTGTTGACTCTCTAGATGAAGACGATATTATATCGCTTTTTATTTCAAGCAAATTAAGAAAGGCACTTTGATAAAAAGGAAATGGGATTCAAAGTTTTTGTTTTATTGATTTTTTATCTTGAAATGTTTGTAATGTTATTTTTTGTTATGTTAATATTCTTTCAAAATAAATGCACTGAATAATTGTTGTTATACCTTTATAATAGATTGAAAAATTAATTGTTGGGAAGGGGCGCTTTAAAAGTTTTGGCCCAGGGCGCCGCCGGTGATTAATCCGGCCCTGATCGTATTGTTTTCGATAAAAATGTTTTTCTGTCAAACGTGTACAAACATATACACCACCTTCATATTCCTTTCAGGCGTATCACTAAAATTTCCAACTGCCTACCAGTTTCTTCCACATCTTTTGGACGATCCTACCAGTCTGAGGTTGTCATATTTGCTGTCAAAAAACCGAGACGGTGTATCGTTGGTGCTCGGAATACCGACGGTGAAGAGAGAGAAGTACAATTATCTTATGGATACTCTTCAAAGTCTTATTGATGGATTAACAGATGAAGAAATCGACGATAGCCTTATAGTGATTTTCATAGCTGAGGTAACGTTAAAGGGAATAGTTCTAAACTGTATTTTTACTTGAATTTTTGTTTACAGATTGAATTGGAATACATTGTTAAAGTTGCCAGCGAAGTGGAAAAAAAGTAAGTTATTTTTTTATTTCACTACAGTGTATTAATTTTTAAAAATTAAAAAAAAACTCGTTTAAGGTTTTTGTTCTAAATTATGGATTGTTTAATTTATTTGTACGACCGTCAAATCTATAGTTAAGTAATATGCTAAGTTTTAGAGAAACTTTTAAAAAACAAACATCCATCTACATGTTATATTTACTTGCCAAACATAAACGTATATCCAAAAATATGTCTTTTTTAAATCTATATAACTTTTATTAGAAACTTACATGCGTGTCTAAGTCACATATTGAAATATTGAGCAATTACGCACTAATGGGACACCCTGTATAACTAATTTCTTTAAGCTTAGAACCCTATTGATTTTCAGAACTTTCGGTATATAACATTAGTGTTCCTTTAAGTGTCTTTAGAATAATAATCCTCCACAAGTTCGTGACGCTAACACCGGACAAGAGTTTGCAGGATTTTTCCTGTAAAAACGTGCCGCAAGATGCTGAATCCCGACCGTCTGTATACTGAGTGATGAGAATTTTGTTTTTGCGTTATTTTAAATTTTACATGGTGCACCAAACAAAACTACAAATCATAATAAAATAATTATTTTACTATTTATATTTGAAAAATACGTATTTTATTTCTAATTATACAGGGTAGCTCAAAGTATTTTGATTATATATATTAATAGAGATAATATGGATTGGATCAGTTACGATTGTGGTAAATAATTTAAAAGTATCCGAATGCCGAAAAAAGTATCCGGTATCCGGATACTTACAAATTTGGTCACGGATACGGATAGATAGAAAAATTTGAAAAGTATCCGAATACAGCTTTCGGATACACATAAAGTATCCGGATACAGAAGTATCCGGATACTACCCAACTTTGGGAGATAGTCATTCAAAATAGCAATTTATAGCAAAAAACGATGAACTATTCAAAACGAAAAATGAGTAATATTTAAAAATGGTCATTTTTAGACATTTCATTATTCATTTTTTGATTTTTTTGACATTTAAATTTTTAATGATAATACGGTATAATGCATCGAAGTATATTTTCAGATTTGCGGCCCAACTAGAATCTGGATTGATCGAAATCATAGCACCTTCGCCAGGATATTACCCGAACTTCGAAAAACTTCCATTAACGCTTGGGGATTCCCCGGAACGAGTAAAATGGCGATCGAAACAGAATTTAGATTATGTGTTTTTGATGTCTTACTGCCAGACGAAAGGTAAGCCTTTTTGTTTTTCGTGTGGTTTGAAATAGGTAGAAAAGAAGGAGATAAGTTGACGATAGTAAGCTTATTATATTTTTTCTCCACCTGATTTTAACATAACATTTTGTTTCTTCTCTCAGATACATCGTTATGAATTTAGATTCAAATAATAATTTTGTTACTTCAATATTTCCATGTGTCAAAATCGTCATCTTACCCTCACACCACATCCAGCACAAAAACATTTCGGAAATATTTCAAAAATGTAACATTAAATATTTATAATGTTTCATAAATATTACGAAACGTCCCAGAAACATTTCGAGAATATCCCTGAAATATAAAAGTGTCCCGTAAATGTAATATTGTATAGTAATATTTCAGAAATAAAAATTTTAAATATAACGTAGTAATATTTCAGAAATTTATTCTAGTTTTATTTCATAAATATGTTGAAGAAACGTTTCTAAAATATTTTTGGAATATTAAAATAGCTTCTGAATGTAATATTATACTGTAACATTTTTATTAGATTAAAAAGAAGACATTTGAAAATAAAATATACATGTCTCTTTAAAATACACGAAACAGAAACATTGATTCTTAAACAAACAAATAAATAAATAATTTTTAAATATTATTTCATAAAATATTCTATAAGCGAATCACTTTTCACATTTCCACCAATTCGACCAATTCCACCAATATTGTAACCTTTTGTGTAACATTTAACTAAAATATTTCAGAAATATTTTAGAAACTTATGCTTGAGATTTTTGAAACTTTTGAAAGATTTCTGAAACACTTCTGAAATATTGTCAGTTATATGGGATGCGGGTAAATAATCTCCTATCTAAGATGACAAAAGAAGAAGTTATAAAAATAATTTTAAAAAACCGATTTCAAAATCGTGCAGAAGCCCTTAAATATTGAGATTTTTTATTTTCTCATAAATCATCAGATACCTGAACAATTGTATATGGAAGTGTCCCTAAGGTATCCCCTTTCTAACAAAAAAAGAATCATAGAAATCGGACAACGTAGTAAAGAATTATTGCTGAAAAATACATAAAAAATTAAGAGTGATGATTTTCTCATGGACCCCATTATTAGATCTTGACCAAATTTATATGAGACCACCCCTAAGGTATCCCCTTTCTACGAAAAAAGAATTAGGACAACGTAGTAAAGAATTGTCGCTGAACATACATAATAAAATATTCCGATGAATTGAGAACCTCCTCCTTTTTTGAAGTCGGTTAAAAATCGTTGCATCAAAAATATATTGTACCACTTGAATTCACAAAAGTCACACACATCTGTTTTGGAACAGGAGTACCAAAGCTTTATCTTCACCTGATTCATGACAAATCAAACATAGTTCTTCTATATCTCCTACATAATCGTTATTATTATTTTCTTCCATATATCTGATTGATGTGAATAAATTAGGAAACTTATTTTCATCATCAAGCTTTATTATTTTGACAAGTTTCGGTTCCTTTTGGATCTTTTCTTATTTCCTGCTCTTCTCTTCCGATTCTCCTCTTTTTTCTTACTTTTTGTTTGTTTTTCTCAGCTTCTTTTGTTTCTGAAGCATTATTTACAAGAATGACATTCACGTATTCATTGGCAGTGGCTCATTCCTTATTTTTTTCTCTTTGTGAGCTACAAAGAGCTTCTGTGCTATTCAGGGTAGCTGAGGTAATATTTTGCGATGATCCTGCTACTTTTGATGGGAGAGCATCAATTGCATAGTGTGATTCTGATACTTAAGTGCCTACAATCAGATGGTATAATGCCATAAGATGGTTGTGCTATTTCTCTGTAATGATTTCTCTGTTGGCCCAAAGTCAGAATCATCAAATATTTTAGAATTCAGTGAAACAAAGATACTAGAATATTGTACAGTATTCTTTAATTGTAGCAACCTTACCATAACTTATGCCACATCTTTATTAGTCTTAAATGGTCCAGTCGCTAAACGCGTGCATGAAGAGAAAACATCACGCTCCACCATAGCAGTATTATTTCCTGGTATAAGTTCACTGCTTGTAGTGTAACGTGCGTCGAATGGTTATCCATAATTGGGGCTTAGGTTAAATTAAGTCTGATATCTGCTTAGATTAAATCAAATCTGATATCTGAGGTTTCTGTTTGGCAGGTGAATTCTGGGATACCTTGTTTACTTGGTCACTTTATTTGCTTTTTTAAAACTCTGTGTGCCCAGCATGCTCTAAGACCTGCGAATTACTAACAATTTATTTATTTATTTACAGGTACATTTTACGTCCAATTAGAGGATGACATTATGGCCAAACCAGCCTATATGACAACAATGAAAAAGTTCGCCTTAGAAAAAACGTCAAAAAAAGAACCATGGATCATTTTGGATTTTTGTCAGTTAGGTTTTATCGGTACATATTCCTATAAGTCTCCCTGTACAAATGTATTTATATTTGTTTATTTGCATTTTTAGGAAAAATGTTTAGGAGTGCTGAACTTCCTTGGCTGATCCAATTTTTTCAAATGTTTTTCAACGATAAACCGGTTGATTGGTTACTGGATTACTTGATTACCACGAAAGTTTGTAACTGGGAAAAACGAGTAAGTTTGCAAATTTAAGCTTAGCTCCACACTAATTATGTCTGGCTGGACCCAGTGCGCATCCTTCTGGAGAAAAGTAGATTTCTCGTAGCTCAACTGTACTTATGCCTGGCTAGACATAGTGGCTTTCTCTTAGCTTCTTAACATATATATTTAATTACAGTAAAATCTTATTTACTTTTAGGATAACTGCAAGACTGATAAAGCAAAAGTATGGATTCATTATAAACCTTCACTATTCCAACATATAGGGGAACATTCTTCTCTAAAAGGAAAAGTTCAAAAACTAAAGGTAATAAATACACACATGTCATTTTTTCAACAGCTTTACTCATTATAACGTTACTACAACATATTTGGTAAAAGTATTATGATTACTCTGGTGACGTCACATATATCGTGGTAACATAACATATATAACGTAATATGTCAATATTAGATTATATTTTGATTTTGTTTACTTAAAATTATGTCTCCTCCAACAAATAGATTAAAGATTTTATTGCCCTATATGTGTGGAAATAAGAACATGCTTTGGTAACATATGACGTCATGGAAATAACTAAATCATATAAATAAATGCTGTGGTAACATAAAGTATGTTCTTGTAAGTTACGGTAAGCAAGAAATGTCTATAATTGTTAGCATAAACATAACAGAATAAATAGATTCGCTTTCACATTGTCCGCATCATAAACCAGATGGAGAAAGAGGTAGGGTACAACACACAATGACGTACTGTTTCGAGAGGGTTCATTTATACTATTTTATAAAATTATTTAATGTTTAAATATAGGGTGTCTTGGATTCAGGGAGAACATTAAAAGATATACGGCCTCTGGAAGTCAATTTTTCTTGAATAACTTTTAGACTACGTAATATAATTTAACGCTAGGAACTTATTTTTTAATGTTCTCTCTGAATCCAAGAGACCTCCTACCTTTTCCCGGACACTCTGTATACGTTTAATGAATCTTGCGAATCAAGGGTGATTTTAAATTGTGCAACAAGAAAGGATATGAAGTGAAAGAAACACACAAAATCACCGAATATCATAATAATTACAAAATGTTTAAAAATCGCAGAAAATAGAAAAATCTTTAAGTAAAAAACCGTCAACAGATCACAAAAAGCACTAATATAACTTAATCCCATCCTTGACGCTGTCAACAAAATGTCTTAAGTCACCAAATTTAAAAGTTAAGAACCAGAAAGTTCATTATAACAATTACAGTTCATCAAATTTCTAGAGGCTTTCGACGGCTAGACAGAGAAAGCACTACTGACAGGCATCCCGACGGATTTACGCAATGAAAGTACACTCTGCGCATCAAGTATTTCACTATTTCATTCAGACGTAAATGTCAGATGTAAATTTCGCTAAAACATTTCTTTTATTTTCGTTTATGTTTTTTGCTCATTACAGTTTAATAAAACCTAAGTATGGAGTTTAATAGCAAATTAAGAGGCCGCGTGATTAACACTCAATCTCGCGAAATAATAGCCAATGTTATAGAGTTTATGAGAAGAGAAGGAAACTTTAATTCACCTTCAATACCATTTAAAAATGTAAATGATCGTGTTGCTGCAGCCACAGGAGTATCTAAAAACACTGTCGTCCGCATTTCTGGAGAGAGAAAAAGAATCGATAACCGTGAGATATCGGAATTTTCATCACCAAGAAAAACCATTAAAAAACCAAAAACAGTTAATGATATAGATGAAGCTGCACAAGAATCAAATTTTATTTTTTTATTATTAGATAGCTATTTTTGTTTCTGAGTTGTGTTTATTTACAGGCTCAATTTTTTTCCGTTTCTCCTTTTTGATTTTATATGGGGTTTCAAGTTGTTTTTGATTTATTTCGACGTAAATCACAACAACACACTTTTTTAATAAAGCAAACAAGTGTTAAGAGGTATATGTACGTGTAAACTACAATTACAAAAAATTTATATGAAACCCATGAAACCACCAACAAAAATGTAAAGCTAGCTTCCGTACTAGAACATGGTGTCATTCGTCGAGATAATATATCGTTTTGTTTAATAGATCAAGAAATGTAAATATTCCCCTGTTATTTTTTATAAAATTATAAGAGAAATAATTTTTTTTCTAAATAGTATAGTTTATTATTTTGTAGAAAAACAAAATTTCGAAAATTTTAGTAATGTTTCAGAAACAACCGTTATTAATAATAGGTACCATTTTCCTTAATAAGGTAGAAATAAAATATAAACTATTTCCACGATTTACAAAGGCCTACAAAAAAATTATAGGTATTTTCCGCTATCCTATAAAATTTATATTTTCTGACTCAATTTCAAAAGGTTGAAGGAATTCCAAAACACCTTTTATGGCATAATAATTATTTTCAATTCTACATACTATCTTTAGCTGCTTTTAAAAACGTTCTAAGAAAGTCCAATCAGACCAATTTAATCCCTAAACTATTCCACACTTTTAAAATTTAATTACCTAAAAATATTAAAAACTATTTAAAATAACTTGTTTAGCAGACTGTACAATAGCTATCTTAGTCACACGTAGCGCGTTCTCTGTCTGGGCGTCGAACACCTCTAGAAATTTGATGAACTGTATGTTGTATCTCTAACCTCCATGCGTTAGGTTTTAAGGAATAAAACAAACCTTACATTTGTGACGTTTAATCAAACTGTCTTCTCGACATGCTCTCCCTAAAAACCATGGAAAAACATCAACACAACTTCATAACAATATAAAATAAATTTACAAACAATATAAACCCAAATCTAACACCATGTTTACCTGACTTGTTACTCTGAGACTTTCTGTTCTATAAAGTAAAATAACCAAAATATAAAAATTATATAACTCTATATCTATACTGTTTTTATTTTAGGATAAGCAATTCGGAAAAGTTGCACTGTACTTTCCCCATAAGAATCCAGAAGCTGAAATTACTTCTGGAATAAAACATTATAAACAATACTCGCTGAAGAGGGCATACTTGGGAGAAACTTTCTTCTGGGGATTGCTGCCTCAACCTGGCGACCAACTAGTTTTTAAATTTGCATCGCCTATAGTCATTAAAAAGTAAGTAAATATATCATTAGTTACAAACTATCCTTTTCAGTAAAGGAAAATTGTATTTTGTGCAATTACGCCATATTCAGTCCTTATTGTCGGTCAAAACACATCCAATAATATCAGTCAACATCGCGTGTCCAATAATTGAATATTGGGGGATCCCCCCCACCTTGTTAAATCACCGTTTTTATTTTTATGTGGAAAAGTGGTGTTAGTTCCTTTAATTTATTCTTTTCAACAAAATCATACATCTTTAATATTTATTAACAAATTAAATAAAATTTGTTTTTTTGTAGGTTCCTTTTTCGTAGTGGAAATGCTGAACATCCAACAGATAAATTTTACAATACAACAGTAGAAGTCCAACCCAAAAATTCCTTTTATCAAAATTCAAATGTTGTAAATATAACGCAAGATGGTTTTATTGTAATTGGTAAGTTAATAATTTTATATTTAAGTGGATTTAATTAAAACACACCTATATCCAATCTTTTTAAATCAAAATAACTCAACAACCATCTACCCATATGCAACCCAACAATACGTAAACGTATATTGTGAGTTGTCTACCTTCTGACAGCCTGATATATTTTACTTTTTATTTAGTTCTATATTTAATTAGATCATTATAGATGTGTGAAGCTGAAATTATTTTTGACTTTTAACTACTCTTAATTTAATTCTGACCCCAAAGAATGTGAAAATTCGACAAATAATACTAAAATGAATAGTTAATGGTCAGGAGGACAATAAAAATCAAACCATTTTGTATTGAGTACCTAATGAATTAAATATTAAATTTACACCAGGCATTGTAATCTGAAACAAAGACAATAGTTTAGAAAATATTTATTTCACCATAACAAATATGATAAATGACAAGAAAACGTGACAAGTGACAATTGACATAAACATAAATGTTCCGAATTTAGATTGTAAGATTTATAGTACTTCTCGAGGATAAATTTCATAGTAAATTAAATTAATACGTTGTGTTTACATAACAGGTAGGTCTTGCGAGGTTTTGATGTCCCTTAAACGTTGCAGTTACGTTGTAACGTAATGTTATTACGTTCCCTTAAAACAACATCGCCGCAACGTTATGTGCTAGCTGGGAAAAGTGTTTAAAATTATGTTTCTACGTTTGGCTACCCGTTAAAATAATTTCTATAAGAATTTAAGGTATATAGTTGAAAAACAACAAGTAGAATAAAAAGATTTTCATTTTATTTCCACTTTTTTAAACACAGATACTTGCAGATTTACTACTATGTATAGTTTTATGTAATGATAGCTGCGGCAGTAAATCTGCTACTTGTCTGCTTAGTTAAACAAATAACTATTGTATGTCAGAATTCTTTTAAGGGGTCGTCGAAGGCTTAAACATTTTTGTATACAAATGTTTTAGAGGGTGGTCAAACGTGAAAACAAAATTTAAAATCTTTGTGGATCCATATATTGTGTCCTTATAACGATTGACCAGTTTTTCCAACTCTAAATTCGATTTGAGAATTATATTTTTGAGGTTCTCAGATATCCTTAACCTTTTTTTCGAAGTTGATACTCGTGTTTTTCGATAATTTACTGTGTTGAAGTTGTATGGTGCATACAATTAAAAAATATTATCATTTGGAGGCCAGCGGACACTCAGCCTTTAAATTTTTGTTAATTTTTTGAGGTCCAAACAAGTTACTATTTGTTGCCAAACACATCCAAATTTGTTTTCAGAAACATATACCGCATACTTGAGAAATTAAAATAAATACATTTAGAAATAGGAATTTATTCAAAAATATTCAACTTTTTTATAACACGGCATCAAAAACCATAGTCCAAACAGCATCTCGGTGGCCATTAAGAGGCTGGTTACACAGCAAAGTACAATTTCCAACCTTAAAATTGGATGTTGCAGAAACATATTGTAGTAAACGGTGGCGACTGTCAGAAGGGTTAACAATATCGCAAATAATGTCACTAATTCTGTAAAAGAAAAAAAAAATGGATTAAATAAAGAAATAATTTAGGGTAGAGTTTCATGAATCTTTTTAAAATAATTATTTTGTTTCCAAGGATTTTTTTTTAATATTTTGAGGGGCTCTGTCGCCCGAAAAATTAGCATTGACTTACATCAGAATCCAATGAATTGGAATGGGGTAGAATATCAATATGCATGTTGTATCAATAGGACTAGGTGCAACTCTATGGGAGCAGTCATTTTTATTATCTATCTCACTCAGGAGTATTTTTAATAACCATTTTCTGTTTCACATCGTTATTGTCTAGTTCCCAATCTAGTGGACCAGATAATAACAAAATGAAATAGAAAATGGTTATTATAAATACCCCCGAGTGAGATGAAAAATAATATGGCTGCGCCCATAGAGTCGCATCTCAAGCCTATTGACAAGTATTCTACCCTACTCCAGTTTATTGTTTCAATCTAGGGATGGCATAGAGGTAAAAGGTAGTGAGACGCTGTCACGTGCTCCAAGACTGGTTCACTTCCGCCATATTGTGTTCACGAATCCTTCAAATAGCTAATCGTGGTTTCAATCAACGTTTTTTCTATTTTTATGTCGTTTGCAAACTAAATATATTGTACATATTAAAAGTTAAACATTGGTTGCTTGTGTTAAAAAATTATCAGAAATAATATGCCACAACTAAATATACAACATAGTAAACAATGTGCAGGGCCATATTTGAGATATTGTGCTTTGAATGAGAGTGTTGTAACCATAATAGGGTTTTTGAGTAATTAAGTGAAAAACTGTGTGTTCTTTACATGTTTGAGTACCATGAAGAATAGAGTAACCACCAACGGTCCACCTGATGAACTTTTACGGGTCCCATTTGAGTTCGTGTTCGTGCTCCTTTTTTCTATTCTCCATATTGAGTACATTCAACTAAATAAATAATTTAAATATTTTTATTAAAACAGAAAAATCTAATGTCGATTTTCTAGAGTAAAATATCAATTCGCTGGATCGATTCAGTGCTACATATTGATTAAAAAATCGATTTTTTTGCCCGATAAATCTATTCTTCGATTAATTGATCTCGGATCGCCATTCCTACTTGAATCATTGTTTCAATAGATGTCAGTCGTTATTGTATCCAATAACTTTTACAATTTGATCATTCTACTATAGTCAGGGATCTCAGATCTCACGATTTATCGTAAGAGTTCACTATAATGCGCCTTAATTTCACGATATTTTTAACAATCAGCTTGCAGTAGTGATCCTTAAGTTTTTATGTCAAAAAAATTGCTTTTTCAATAAACAAATAATTGAATTATGCCGTAGAGTCCGACTCTGGAACGCGCTAATGCGTTGGCCGAGACATGGCAGACGGCTGACACTTGACAGTCTCGCGGTGGTTCCACGTCTGCCTCATTCCAGGCTTGCCACCTTTTCCTAAGAAGGAATTAAAATATATTATTTCTTTAAGTTTATATGAAAATTAAAAATATATATTTTGAGACATTTAGATGGTCCTGGGAAAACAAAATCCTTTCTCTAACTCTTAAGAAATATATTTCATCCAAAATAAAAGTAACATAAACATTGGCACGGGGGCCCTTGGACAAAACAAAAAGCTCGGAAACTAATTATTACTCAACACTAACACAATGCGGAGCTAAATCCTAACGGCCATCTTCTTCCAAAAATCAAATCGGAAAGGGCCGAAAAAAAAAGTTTTTTTTTTTTAAGTGACAGTTCGATCATAGAATTGGCAAATTTTAACGAAAAATGTTACCAACCTATTAAGACCAAAAAGAACTGTTCAGCCAGTTTCTCGTGTCTCATATTTATGGTCAAATATAATTAAGGAAAAATAATTATGCAAAATAAAAGAAATGAAATGATAAAATATTAAAATATAACCATATAACACTAGTTTGGCAACCTTGTTTGTGAGCGGCGCGCCAATTAATGTGTTCTTTGACAGTTTAAAGGATCTGTTGGCGTGTTGTCTTCTCTTTTTAACTATATGCATTCGGCATATCGTCTCACTCGTGTTAGGCTCACTCATTATAATGCTCCACAGACACAGTATACTTACGTATACTGTGACACAGAGACGCGATTAGCCAGAGGACAATGATGTACAAAAAAATATAGATTAAAATTAAATTTATATTTTTATGTTATTTATGTAATATTAAAATAATGTGATTTTATGAAATTTAATTGGGTGTTCACTGCACAAATGAACCAATGGAGAAACCGCCTCTGGATTGGAATACATATTGGAGAGAAATAACAAAAAAATCAAACAGTTTATATTTTTCTATCGACAAGGAGTTGCCAAATAAAATCTCGCATTTATTCAATGACAAAGTTAATAAAAAGTACTGCACAATTATAACTATATTGAAAATTAACCATGGGTGCTTTCCGTTTCATTTATATAAAATAGGACTAACAGATTCTCCACTATTTTCTATTGATAACGAGGTCGCAGATCTCGATCACATATTTGTCGGCTGTAAGAGTTTTTGTAATAATGACCAGTGGGATGGTCTTATGAAAGCAGGTATGCAGTTTCCTACGTGTGTCAAGGTGTTGCTCGCGACTGGAATCAATCTGGACTAACGTCCATTGCCAATAAAGGGGAAAAAAATAATAAATATAAAACTAGTATAAATACCCTTTTTAAATATTTTGTCCACTTTAATGCTTAATTATAATACTAATAGAAATACTAATAATAAGGGAGTATAAATAGACCCTTATATATAGTATTTTCAATTTATGTATGGGATCCTTGACTCTATAGTTCTTCATACAACGATATTACACACTAGTTCTAGTATTTCTATTTTATATTGTTTATACATGAAGATGATACCTTTGAGGTAACATCATTAGACTATACAGATATCTCCTAAATGTCAATTAATTAAAAACGTTCCCAATACCTAAGTAATCTAATTTCTAAAAATAAGATCATAGTGGTCAATTAATTATTATGACAGATAGGAGAAACATTTCGAAAACTTACTTCGACTGGAATACTTAAATATTTGAAATATGACGAGTTTCATCAGCTCGGCAACATGTCTGGTCAAACAAACGGCTGCATCTTGATCCAAATTCGGGGTGTCCTTTTTATCGCTCAAATATTTAGCAACTAACATCGCAATTTCACTAAGCGCGATTACGGGAAAATAGTGGGCGTTGATGTACATCAAACATTCGAACATCAATTCCGGATCGGCCTTCATGTTAGCCACCACGAACTCGACTATTAAATATTAGCTCATATTGGTGTATCTGTGTGTATGTATACCGAAATTTTGGATTATTTTTAGAATGGATTTGCTTTATTACTATTTGGCAATGAATGGCTGGCTGGACGGTTCGGGAGCAGACTTACAAGCTTATAAATAGGGCAACACGTGTGAGAGTGTGTTTGGATAGGATTAGCAACAGGTTGGCTCGGCTCGGCTGGTGTTTACTTGTCTGCTACGTTATTTTTATTTTATCTTATCATATGCATACACACATATTTACAGGGATTCGTTTAAAGTGCCCACCCTCTCTGTAATCATGTTGATAATGATTATCCGAATAGGCAGGGGAAATTGGTATAAAATAATATACTATAATACCGAAAATAAACTACTTTAAAGATCGTATTATAGTATCAGACAGAATAGTTTGTATTAGTTTATTTACTAATAAATACTGAATATTCATTAACATCAATAAGTTCTTAATGGGTTCCATCGAAATATCCCATAAATAAAGTTTTAAGTATGTTGGGTATTGCTTTATATCTCTTGCTTTAGCCATTTTGTATATAATGACCCGAAAGAAAAAAATACCCCAAACTTGCTATAATCCGTCGATCTTTAAGATAATCGTGACGGTAACTGATTCAACATAAAATAATCAAACAGTTGTTAAATAGGTAGGTAATAGAAAATATATTATGGCAAAATAACAAATAATATAAAAATTATCATGACAAAGATTAAAATGAGATTGTTAAAATAAATATGTTATTTTAATCTTCATTTAGTAATTTAAACTTCTTTTATCACAACTGTAAAACCACTCTAATGCTTATCCATTTTCATTTAAGAAAATTTTTATGCCTGCGTAAGACAAGACAACGGCTTTTTATAATAAAACCGAAGCAAATTTCTAGAATTTAAGAGATCAAAGAGAATATTTAATTTTCTCATCTTTACAAAACCTAATGCGATTGCAACACTCTCACTCAAAACACAATTAATATCTCAATTTCCTAAATACGACCCTGCACATTGTTTACATTATTGTATACTTAGTTTTGGAATGTTATTTCTGATAATTTCATCGTATGAACATCTATTAGGTTGCTACAAATACGTTGAGCACAAGCAACCATTGTTTCACTTTTAATATGTTTGCAACCGATATAAAAATAGAAAAAAACGTTGACTGAAACTACGATTAACTGTTTGAAGGATTCGTGAACACAACATGACGGAAGTGAACACGTCTTGAACCACGTGACACCGTCTCCCTACCTTTTACCTCCATTCTTTATTAATTGACAGTGCTAGCCTTAGAACATATCTCCCTACCTACCTCCATGCTTTTATTCGGTTTTTATTCTGCAAGCAGTCATCGACAATCATTGCGTTCGGTTTGCCACGTTCCTTTAACTCATTTAACACTTTTAACTCCAAACGACTCTTTTAGCGTTCGGTTTAGTCCGATTAGTGACAGTTTAACACGCTTAAATGTCATTTAAAAGCACCCTAAAATTTGTCCCGCTCCAGCCCCTGACTGACCGAACTCGCCTAGTGTTGTTCCTAGGGATTTTTGAATTGTATAACTTTTAATGTCAAAATTGTACACTCTTACGTTCGATTGTACAACCACTAATTAGTTTACTACTTCCCGATGCTTAAAATTCTTCTTTTTCCAGTTTAAAAAATGTTTTCGATGTAAAACGGTGTACTGATTGGTCGCGAATGGCGTCAAATTCAACCATTATTATTTTATGAATTTTATTACCTACCATAAATATTTAGCAACTTCAAATTGTACAACATTTCTACCTTTTTCCAAAAGTGCGTACAACCACATAACTGATTGTACAACTTTTTATACAATTGTACAACCAGGAACAACACTGGTCATCGACAGCCGACACTGCAGTGTTACCAATCATAATTTTAGATCTAGGCATACTTTCGTGATACATATATTCAATTATTTTTTCGTTTCATATGATAAAGTAGCAGACCAGCGTTTTAAGAACTTCTTAGATCCCTTAACATGTTAATTTTTATCCTCACATTTATGATTTTTGGCCTATAAAGGTCACAAAACGTTTAAATATAATGGTTTAGACAAAATGGCACCGTGAAATTTTTAACCTATTGATCAAGTTCCGTTTTAAACCAAAACGACAAAAAAGCTTTTTTTTTAATAGCTAATAAAAAAACAACTTTTTAACAACAATCTTATCTTAAAAGCATATAAAAATAACATTTTAATTTGTAATTTTGAACTACTTACCAACATTATTTTTCACAATGTTTATTATGTATAATATGTAACTAAAAACTTCTTTAAACTTTTCTCTCACCTCTTTTAACAATTTTCTATCTTTCCTCCAGTGTTTTGTCGTTTTATTGTTTCATACCTGCACCCTAAAGTGACCCACCATCTATATATGCCGCCTTTGAGAATCCAGATCGGATGCATCTGAGATGTAGTACATCTTTGATCATGTGATTCACTATACGTAAATTTAATAGGACAGATGTCTCCGATGTAGATAAAAAAACGCTCGAGATGTAAAAAATGCATCCAACGTGGATTCTCAAACGCGGCAATAGTTCTATATTACAAATAAGTGGATTCACCTGAGAAAAACCTAATTTTAACAATTTGTATTTTATTTTTCAGGTAAATTTGATAGTGCTGGCGTGGCGTCGGGTAGCCCAGACGAGAATATTGGAAAAGTAAATGTTCTTCGGCTGAATGTTCACAGTGAAAGTGATAATTGGGCAATTTTAAGTGAGGTAAGTTATTTTTTGTACGCTTTTATGATGATTTTGTAACCGAATAGAACCAGGGCTGGATGGGGAAGGGTAAAGGTGCAATTTGGAAACGTGAGACCGATACAAGTGATCGCTTGAGGCAATAAATACTGCTTCGAGACCGGTATTGAAGTAGTGATGATAAATCATTCGAATAGGGGGTACTTCAGGGGTGGACCCATACAAATTTGGTTAAGATGTGGTGACGGCATCAGCACGATTTTGAAGTCGGTTTCTTAAAATTACTTTTAATACTTGTTCCTAATACTGTAATAATTTACCTTCAATACTCAAACACTCTTACTTTTTTGCAGATACACATTCAAGACAAATTAAGCAGAAGGTGACAAACAGACAAATTTCATACGTCATATTCTACGTTTTTGTACCAACATGTACCAAGACGGATTTAAAAGTAGCGCTCATGCGCATCATCTGTGATATTTTTTTATTGTTGAACGGATTCTACAACGACATCGAAGTGACGATGGACTGATTTAAGAAGTATTTATACAGGGTCTCTTTTTTGTTATGATATGTTAATTTATATTTTGTATACCGCTTTGGCTATTCAAAATTTTCCGTGATAGAAGATTCCCAACAAGAGAAATATGAAAAATCAATGTATAATTACGAAAAAAGGAGCGATTTATTTTGAACACATCCTTGATGAAGCATTTTTTGTACAATATTAAGCTTTTTACTAAACCAACCAATGTGCAAACTAGTCAGTTGATATATTAAATATATTGCACATAAAAACTATCTACTAAAAACATTGTTATCCTATAAAATATAACAGTAAAAAAGATTAAGAAGGTTGTATGATTAAATTTCGAAAAAATAAGCGACCAAGAGCAAGATGTATGGATGGAGTCGAAGTAGATCTGAAGATATGAGTCAAAACGAAGGAGGACGTAGTCAGAAATCGGGAAAAGATAGTAAAATTTCATAGTAGGCCAATATTGACATAGGATTGTCGAGCCAAAGACCACAATGGTTAAATATGAAAACTATAATATATTTTTTATGTAATTTTTATTTATTTTTGAATTTTTAACTATTTTTTTTTTATTTTCATGGACAGCTTCTGTACCCAACGAACATTTTGGTATGGCAAGTTAATAGATCTTTCACATACAAAGTGCTCATGCGAAAATCGTAATTTTTATTAAAGAGAGACATCTTTTTATCATATCCCCTATTGTTATACGTCATTCCTCTCCCTTTCACCACCTGTGGCGTCATTAAAAAGGTAATTTATGAATAATTCAACAATGACTTAATAGAGGACTTCTATACAAGGGAAGTGCAACTAACTGGACAAAATAAAATTGACATTAATGACATAAGAAATCAGGTCACATAAAGAGGCTGCTTTTTAGTTAGATAGGAAAAACTAAAAATTTACAAAAAAAAAGCCTCTTTATGTGACCCGATTTCTTATGTCATTAGTGTCAAAAAAATGTGTTAAGTTGGTTACACTTCTCTTGTATAGAGCATTTCATTTTGATTTTAGTGCCCTCTGGTGGAATAAAAATTTGTTACATATTGTAAAATTTGATACTTCATTTATTTTGAAAGCTAATTTTATTAATAATTTAATGAACAATGTAAAATATAATAGAATGAAACATACATTTAAATAATTCAAAAATCTTGCAGAATTTCAGCAGTAACTCCGAAACAATACCACTGACGTATTTGACAGATATTTGAGCGATATAGATATTGTTGAGTATTCTGTAGAAGGCCTTTTACGACCAACAACATCTCGTACTCTTAATTTTAACAGCCAAAACTGCAATGTTTGTTGGGTATTTGCAATATTGAAGAAATAGGTGCCAAATTTCAAATGATTTCGTCAATAAACGAAACAGAATAACATACTGTATAAAAAAATATTATTCTGAATATTTTGCTCTCTAAGTAATTATATTCTGTATAAATATATTTATAAAATATATTGTTTATACTCCCTTTTTATGTATTGAACTCTATGTGAACAATTTTGTATAAAACAATTTTTTACCTCAATATGATATATAATAATTAGGCATTCCAACGACTTATGTATATATGGCAACCCTGTGAGTATGTTGTCTTTGACAGTGTCAATGATGCATATATCGTTAGGTAGATTGCTCAAAGTGGGTTGTTTTATGAGCAGCCATATTGCCTCATTAATCAGAATTGGTTTAGCAAAAATGTGGTTTAGGGTCTGCAAATATAACGGACTTATAGATGCAAGTATCAAGTTTTCCAAAAAATATCTGCAAATTTTGCAATATTTATTCTAGTTTATACCCTTAACAACACTAAATCCAAATCCACCCTTAAAAAGGTTAGAACATCCTACAACCATGGAGTCTTCTGTTTCTTTTGATTGAATACAGTTCATGGTGTCCGATTATCGAGTTTTTAAACATAGTAATGGATTTGGGTTTAGTGTTGTTGGGGGTAATAAACCACAATAAATATTCCGAATTTGTATTTTTTTTTCCAAATAGGAAAACTTGATATTTGCAAATATAAGTCCGTCATATTTGCAGATCTGCAAAGTTGCAGATGTTCTGTAATCTCACCCTTAGTATTTGAATTTAGTAATAAAAATAATTGTCTATAATTTTTACTCCAAGATTTAAGCTTCTGTTTATTTTGAAAAACATAAATGATCAATCTATATAACTATCTATATCATTGACCCTGTCAAATCACCAGACACACAGGGTTGCCATATCATATCCTGTCATTACCTAAAGTTTGTAGACTAAAACGGTTGCCTCGTTCGGTTGCTATAGACGGCGGTGTGACGTCACAGAATTAAAAATAATACTGACAGAAAATGTTCTGCCGCGGTTCGTATATTAGTTTAAAAAAATTTGTAATATTTACCTGTGTTAGAGTTTTTATAATATCGGCAATGGCTCCGGTACGCGACAAGAGCTTGGAGATTTATGCAGCGCGAGGTTTTTACATTTCAAATAATTTTTGAATATAAAAAGAAATGGTTAAAATAAAATAAAAATTTGATAAGACGTTTTAAAAATAAAAAATATGTTTAAACTTACCTGTAAATTGCAAATGGATAAACTTTACCTTTGGCAATATTCCATAGACTGATATTTAATTGCTAATATTTTAAAATATCGCTAAGCTGATATTGTTTACAATTTACATGTTCTTCTAATTTCATAAATGTTTTTCAATAAAAACAGATAATGAATAAATAATTCGAGGAAACATAACCTCATTAATTTAAATGTAACTGTTTCCATTAACAGTCCAGTTTGTTTTTAAAAAAATCGTGATATCGTCTAACCTACTTTCCTCTGAATTGACGTTGACGTTTCCCTCATTAAGGACTTACAGGTAGGTAGATAACTATTTAAAAATACTTTGTGAATGCATTTTAATCTAATTTAACATTCTAAAAAACATTTTTAAATTTAAAATCATTGATATTATTATTATATTTTCTCCTAAGGATGTTCTCTTCTGTTTTAATATGAGGTTAATCAAATTTTTATTGTTGTTTGCTAAACATTTTGTTTTAATATTACGACTGTTCATTTAGATATACCCATCTATAATTTATGGCATATAAATTTTTTTATAGACTCTGGGCATTGCTGTTACACTATGTTGTTAATCAAATTTACAAATGTACAAAAATAAAACTATTACATATATAATTTTTGTCTTTTTCTATAACCGTATTTTTTCCCCGGGGGTTGAGAGCCTACAGGGCGCGTCTCCGGGTAGTGGATAGGAGGACGGTCAGAGTATCTGGATTATGGCAGCTATAACTAGGGTGAGGGGACTTAAAAACCTCCAAAACCCTTTGCGAAAACTGTCGCCGCGAACCAACTCCCCAAGTTAAGAGGGACGCGACCCGTGCCGAGGACTGTATGATACCTGGGTCAATGTATTGCAAACGGAGTCTCTGGGACACCAGGTCATCTCCCAGAGTATCACGACCTTACTGCGGCATGCGGGGCTCTGTCGTAGCGGACTGTTTTTCCCTAGCTACTCGTGGGATCAAATATGAATTCTAAAAACAAAAATTAAAATAGCGAAAGGCAACAGCGTCAACCTCGAAAGGGTATACGACGAAGGCAACGTCATCGTCTCCCTGGAAGAGGTAGACCAAATGCCCGAGGACGAGGTACAGTCTGCCCGTCTAGGTGGATACTCAAGAACGAGGTTAAAGGAGCTCTTGAAAATTGGCCTTGATAACACAGCCGCAAAAAGGCAGGTGATCAAGGAAAATTTTCAAAGGGCCCAAATAAAGCCCCAGAGGCTAGAGCGTCAAGAAAAATCGAAAGAAGCCGCCAAGCAAGGCACAAAAGCTCAAAAACGCCCAAAGTCGACAGACTCAACACCGCCGCAGGTCAGCCGACTGAGGAAGAAGGCCAGGGGCCCTATTCTCCAAGTTGAACGATGTGAACATTCCTCTGTGGGATGTGAAGTGTCCTATCACCAATTTGTTCTCTCGGTCATCGTATTCGGTATTCTTGAATCATTCACATCTCATAGGTTCACGGAGCACCGCTGCCAAATATAAGTTGTGCGTTAGAACTATTTTAGAAGGCACTTTACTTCAATTTTTTATTATTTTTTGACAATTGTAATAACATATTATATTTTCCAGTATTTTCTATTAAATCCCGTGCCAAAAGTTTACTTAGACGAAATTTTTTATGAATATTCGGTCATTAAAGTCAGAAGGATCCTCTTTTCATAAAAAAAAGTCTATTTGGTCGATTGGCATCTTCTTCCGCTTCAGCTAGATCATTCAAAATATTAATATAAATAAGAGCTTCGTCTAAATCCATTTTAATTATAAAATGTTCTCCCGAAATGATGCTCTTCTACTGGTTTTGACTAAGAGAAATATGTTCTCTCGATTTTCATGCGAAGTGATCATTCACTTCAATTCAAGAATACCACTCACACACTTTTTAGGAGAACGGTTGTCCAGTTTGCATGAAATGATCATTCTCTCAACTGGAGAATAGGCCCCCTGGACGGACGTAGTTTCGTTCAAAGAGGCCCTTACCTCAGTGAAGGTTGCAGTGGTAGAAATAGGGTACCCGGAGATCAAGATGAGTCCAGAGAAACTAGAAAATGTCCAAGACTCGATCTTCGAGGCACACGACAAAGTCCCCACAGAGGGAACACAGGTAAGGTTCGCCAAGTGCAGCCACAAGCCAGGTTACCTGGTCGTGACTTGCGTGGACCGAACTAGTGCAGACTGGTTGCGGGACATCGTCACAACCATCCAGTTTTGGGAAAAAGTAAACCTGAACGCGTTGGAGGAGGGTAACGATATCCCTAGGCCACTAGCCTGCACAACATTTGTCTCCGACGAAAGAGGACAAAGGCCCGAAGGGGACAAAATCCTTAAAAGGCTAAATTTGGTCACTAAATACACACTTTTGGACGGTGTGGGGTAAAACCCCATCAGTAAAAGGTCAACTTGGGCTTTTTCGATGGATCCTGAATCCTTAGAGGAGCTAAAAAAGCTGGACATGTCCTCTTACTATGACCTAGGGAGACAAATTCAGAATCAAAGGAGGACATGATCAAGAACCCGCCGAAAAGATGAATAACCCAGGCACAAGTAGGGAAGAGGAAACCAAAGAGTCCTCTACAGAGGAAGAAACCCTTGCAGAGGACGACGAGGTGAAGTCTTCCCACAGCAGGGAAGAGGACGCCAACGAGTCCTCTTCAGAGGAAGAAACCTTGGTAGAGGACGACGAGGTGGAGTCTTCCTACAGTGGGATCAGACATCTCAAGACGCAAGAAGCCCAAGAGGTGACTACCTATGGAAATTGGAGAGGCCTCTAAGAAGGCAGTAAAAGGCCCAGCCACAAAGTCCTAGCTAAAGAGGGTACTGCAAACCAAGTGGGATTTCTCAGGAAAGATGATGAAACATACAAAAACATACACTTTCCGACCGCAGAAATTTTGCTAGACCCGATAGTAGCATACAGCCCTCAAATAATGCCTCGTATGTCAACTCCTTTGGAATGGAGGCTGGCTACAGAAATATCGAGGCCGAACAAAATTAGATGGGCTACAAACAGTACAGAGTGATACAGATCACCGCCGTTTATAAATTTGTGATATTAATCACCGAGAGAGAAAATTATTATTTCTTTTTATTTTCTAATAGTTATAGTTGAAACCATATTTAATTTGTTACTACTAAAACCAGTCGTTTCCTTTAGTAGGAACGAATTTGTGCCCCAACCCTTTTCTTTATTTTTAGGGGCGAAGAAAAGGAGGTTACAAGGTTAACTCCCCGACCTCTTCCCGCTAGCCCAAAACCCCTGCTATGATGTATAATTGGTTGTATACTTAGTAGTACGCTACAATGATGTATAGTTGGTTGCATACTTAGTAGTACGCTACAAATCCGTTTAAATAATGACAGAAGTAAATTATCGAATACGAAAATATTTCTAAAGGCCGCCAATATTTTAACGGCCGTTAAAATATAAAGGAATTGTTACAGAATAGACCCCTATATCACTGCCGAGATTATTTATCTGCTTTTCAAAATAACACTTTTTCAACATGTTGTATGCTTGATTTCCGAGTTGCAAACTGCTTCCAGAAACAACCGTTGCACATCGATTAACTTGCACCAAGGAACATAACCAATAAGCTTGGAAATAAATTAAAAAAAAATTATATAAATTTACTCACCTTAAGAACAATAAAGTTAATTCAAAAAAAAATTAAAATTTTCTAGGCGTTATCCTAGCCTTGAAAGGTTTCGGTCCAGGTGTTATACCATCAGCCCATTCAGTAGTTGGTGGTTGTTCTGGAACGATATTGAAATCAAATTTTTGCAGAAGACCTGCCACAAACAGGAATATGTTGGCTCTAGCCAAAGATTCTCCGAGACATCGATGTTTTCCAAGACCGAACGGCATGAAGCTGTCCGGTAAATAAATTTTCCCGTCTTTTAAGAATCTCTCTGGTATAAATTGTTCTGGGTTTTCATAGGCGCAGCCCTCTTCCAACATGCATCCATACAGGTTTGCAATAACCAAAACATCCTACGAATAAATAAATCATTTATTAATAAGGAATATATGTAAGAGTTGTATATACACATAAAATGTTTAGGATACATAAAGGTTGATCCCTTTATGACGCCCCTGGTCCATTTATAAATCAAAACAAAAAAGCCATTACACAAAATGTTCATTCCTAGTCAACTATATCTTAGGAATCAAAAAAGCAGTCTTGTGTTGCTCTTTCCAGCACTGAAGTTAAAGCTAGCAAAGAAGCTGTTTTTATTTTAGTTTTTCTACGTAGGATTTTTAAGCAAAATGAACCAATAGGGAAAAAGGGAATTTTACTAATTATTATCTGGGAATTTTCATAAAAATCCTTAAAAAATAAAAAGTAATAGAAAGACAAACGAAAATAAGAATAGGACAAAAAATAATAGCAAAATAAATAAAAATTGTACACACTAAATCTGTTTACCTTAAAAAAGAAATTAGTCCAGGGAAATTTTTAAGGACAGCAGATATCGAGATGCAGTTTTCTGCATTATGTCCAGGAAGGTCAGGAAGGAAACCTGCTTCAGAATATTTCGAGTACTTTATTTTAAATAAAAATATCGTGACAAATTATTCTGGCGCCCTTTTAAGAACCTTCAATTTATCGGACCCCACCACCTCCAACTAGAGCTATCCGCGGTTAATAACCCAATTGTCGCTAAGACTATTGTGAACCATCTCGTAATATACTATTGGTTGGCTAATTGTTAAGTTAGCTGAAGCCTACGTGTCGTATGTTACAATTTGGCGCCCAACGTGGGGCCGCATCTTGGTCACAAAGACCTTTTTGTATTTTGAGTCGCGGTCAAAGGTTGTGAAATGTGAGCCAGATATTGGAGTTTATTTCACAATGATAATTCAAAACAAGAGAAATTTTTGAAAAGAGCTTGAGATATCAAAAAACTGATTTCATTTTTGGAATCTACAAGGTATTTTCGACAAAATCGAATTTTTAAAATTCTTCTTCAAAAAATTAAAATTTTTGGTCTCTAATTTTCATAAAAAAATTAAGGTATATATAAAAGGAAAAAAGATTAATTTTGAAGTGTAGTACTATTTACATTTTCATTGTTAATTTAAAAACATTTATATAAATATTGGTCTACCTCTAACGGTATCCAAACTACAACGAAATTTCACTACCGTAAAATAAAAATTTTCAAAAAATTTCAGGTTATGATTAATCTTCGAACCAAAAATTAAAATTCTTTTCCTAACATTTTTTGTTTTCATTCTTAATTTTGACTAAACAAATGTTAATTTCAATATTCTGTTACCTTAGGAATTCGATATCCACACAAGTAAGTATCTCGAAGAGCCCGATGTGGTACAGTAAATGCTCTTCCCGCAAACATCCTCAATGATTCCATAACCACGCATTCTACATAGGGCATTCTATAACAATCATAATAATAAACGTCAGTATTTAATAAAATCATTCAATGATTATTTTGGAAGAAGTGTCTGATGAAGTTCATTAACTTAAGAAACCTAGTTTAGTTACATTTATTTCCATGCCACACGGTTCTAGAAATCATACCCACAATTATCAATAAACTACCATTAATGGTATTTAACTTACTTGGGTCTATCATTTAACGATGGACTCCTGTCTTTACCCACCACCCGATCAATTTCCTCTTGTGCTTTCCTCTGTACACTCGGATTCAAAATTAAATACAAAAACCCGAAACTCAAAGTGTTGCTGGTAGTTTCAGAACCAGCCATGAACATGTCCATGCACGTAGCTACAAGTTGCTCCTCAGAAAAACTTCCGGCGATTTCCTCTGAGGAATTCAAAACGTTCAAGTACACATCTATGACATCTCTTGGTGAATCAGGAACGTTTGTCTCCTTGTGGTATGCTAATTCCTTTCTTAAAAATTTCCACAGACACTGGTGAGACCTGACGTATACGTTGTATCCTGATTTTTCCGGTGCTAAGTACTTCAAGATTGGAAAATGGCTAAAGGTTGCACCTACCTGGAATGTAATAGTATTGAAAATGGTTTTTTTACATTTTTAATTGTAAGTAGTGCACAGAAAATAGGTAAGAAAAGGGGTATTGCAACTCATTAAATGTGCTAATAAAACAAGGTAACATAAACTTATTACGGCACTGCATACATTTCAGACTCTCGACACATTTAAATGATAAAAACATAATCTGTAACAAGCTATCCTGTTAAAAATATGTGCAAACTAAATCATTTTCTATCATTATTTTTACTAGCAGCAAATATCTTTGAATTCTCCATAGTAAAGAACAAAATGATTTGTTTATTATTTTGTCTAATTTTTATGGTTACCTTGAAATAAGCTATGGCATAAAAAGTAGGTATTTTAAGCTATTCTCACCATTGAAACTGCCCTAAATAGATCATTAAGTATCGCTTGGAGTTCCCTCATTTTCTTATTTTCAGCATCATATCTCACTCCCGCCAACATCTTCCAAAGGCTGTTCAGTATGTGAAGATTAAATAAATTTTGTACGTTAAATATGACCGAATCATTGAGAGCTATAGATTTGAAAATGTAAGCGATCAACTCTTGCGCTTCCTCTTCAATTAAAGTGGACATATTTTTCGTACCAAATCCAAACTCTCTCAGTTGCTTCAAGAAGAATCTTCTTTGTTCTTGCCAAAATAGCTCGTCCACTAGCAGAATGCCTGCAAATAAGTTGGACGGTGAAACACTGAAGAAAATGAGTTGGGAACTACTTCGAAGGCTTTTTTGGCTTTGTTACTAGGAACAATTAATTTTAAATGGATACAATATTAGCCATAGAGTAAAAGATACAGAGAGCCGGCATTGGAACGAGCGGAAGAGAAATAGAATATTTTTAAAGCTGCAGCTTTAGAGAAATTTAAATTAGTAACGTCATTGACTACGCCTATGATAATTTAAACATTACCTCTTCGTTTTCCCCAAGTTCTTTTATCGAAAAACTCCCCAAGAGGTCTCCCAGCTAAATCCTCACTCATCAAAAACTCCTTATTGGCGGCTGGACCGTTGACAACGACGATGACTTGGGTTCCGACTTTTAGACCCAAAATTGGGCCGTATTTCTTGGATAGTTCGGTGGTGGCGTAAACGAGGTGTTTCGTGCGCTTTTGGATGTTTGATATTTGAGGTGCTGAACCTAGAATTGGCCACCATTTTGGTCCCGGTGGAAATTTTTTCGGTTTTCTTGTATCGAGGTAAGCTAAAATTCCCAGAAGAAATGCCGTGATTGTTATTAGAAACCACATACCTAAAATAAAAAGAATAATAATGATTATAATAATAATAATACTGACAATCTTCTTAAAGGAAATGTACTGGATAAATCGCCGCCTGAACATTTTCCAAAGGTTTTTTATGAGTATTATATACAAAAAAAAAAAAGAATATTCTAGATTGAAACGAACTAAGGAGTCTGCATTCTTTGATAATTTGTAAAAGAATGACTGCTACGAAATAAGAATCGTAAGCTTTTCAACGTGGAAACAACGGTAATAACATAATCTGAAAAAGTAAATTTTTGATCGAATAATATGCTCTAGTCTTTAATTTTTGCATAAGTTGACAAATGTAGGTCACTAATAGTATGATCTATTTTATTAAAAATTGTTAAAAAGTCCGTATATGTAACATCAATTGACATCTGATTGATTACTCAGACAACATAGTCCAATAGATCCAGATCCATTTGAGATTCAGAACGTCCATATCCGTATTTGGACTTCCAGTGTACGTCCGTTTATGCTCATTAATTTGGCAGCTGCATATCGATACCTAAAGGACGTCTGTTTTTGGACCTAATTTTAAGTTTATTAGTATTTTGACGTCCAGTGGACGTCCAACTTAGGTAATTATTTATTTAGCTTACCAGATAATACCCACCTATAAAATTGATCAGTGGAAAGTTGAAAAGTTTTATGGGACGCATAATTTAATTACCATCTTTTCCACTGGATCTCAGACAGTTGGTAGTACCAGAACAATGTCATATAGACGCGTCTCGACACGTACGACTTTAACTGCTCCGGAAACAGTGTAATCGTACCAAGCGTGGCGATCTATATTGTTTTCCAAGCAAATATACACGATTCCTCAAGAAAAAATAGAATAGCCTCGAATAGACATGTTCTTTATAAGCATGGCGTCATCTGTCATGAAATTATGATACTATAAATAGAAGGTATGATACTACGCTTATAGATACAACGTCACGGTGACGTATTATGGTTTTTACTAATTTGAGGTATCAACTAATCGAAAACATTTATAAAACTGTTTACATAAAGATAAATGTATGTCAAAATACAGTTTTAGCCAATACGAGTTGGAAGAAGTTATTTCTGTACCTTTAACAACGTCATTGAATCAACATACTCCACAATATGTTTGAGTTTCATCACATGCCTATTATTGCCTACCTCTAATAATGCTTTTGACTTGCCAAATACTATTATGTGAACAAAAGGCTTAATATCTTATTTTTCTAAATAAGTACCGTAAACCGGGGTTACTTTGACTTTACGTGTTACTTTAACACCTTTAGGGGCTACTTTGACTTCAACGATTTTCTCGAATTGTCGTTCGAGCACGTGGAGGGGATCGAGCGCGCGCGAACAGGTTTTAGACAGAACGGTCTCCACTCTCCAGTGTGCCGTCTGGCGTTCACCGTAAAGTACCTTTAGAGCATTTGTTAATTTTTCTGTGTTTTTAAGATTGCGCTGGCACCACTTGGGTAAGTCTATCAACATTATTGTTTCTACTGTAGTTTAATAGTGTAACTAAGCAGACATAATTTTTCTATGGCTATAAATAGTATTTTATTTTATGCCTTGGATCTTGCATGTGATGGTTTTTTGTGTAAAAAAATTGTACTAGGCACTTTATTTTGTTTTGGAATAATAACGTAAACAAATCGCAATGGTTAAAGTCTACAAGAGAAAGGTTGACCTTATAAAAACTACAGGGAAGAAGACCTTGCCAAAGCTGTTGCAGCAGTTCAAAATAAGCAACTTAGTCAAAAAGCCGCTGCTTTGCAATATAAGGTAAATAGAACTACCCTCCTCAACAGAATCCATCGTAGACATGAAGGAAAACCCGGTCACCCTACAGTTTTGACACCCGAAGAAGAGAGACTAATTACAGACACACTGGGCATCGTAGCAGATTGGGGGCATTTATTGACGAAGGCTGATATTCGAGTGATGTATAAATTTGTATCAAAGCAGGGTAGAAATGTTGCTCAGTGGAATGGTAATATGTCAGGTCCTGACTTTGTGGACGCCTTCGCAAAGAGAAACGATCTTAGCAACAAACTAGCTACAAACATTAAACCATAACAGATATCAGTGGGTCGCGGCGAAATCACAGAATATTTTGAGAATATGAGATCTGCATTAGAAGGGACTCGTCCAGATTTAATTTATAATTATGACGAAACCAATATTTCGGACGATCCTGGTGCCAAAAAAGTCCTTGTACCACGAGCTCACAAGCGTGTGGAAAGAATTCAAGAGCATTCTAAGTCTTCAGTCAGCTTGATATTCTGTGGCACTGCTAAAGGTGAAATTCTTGCTCCTATGGTGGTATATAGTCCAAAAATCTCTATGAAAATTTGACCAAGATCGGAGCGCCAGGAACACTCTACAGAAACAGCCTCTCTGGATGGTTCGACATGGATCTGTTTGAGGTCTGGTTTTTCAGAATACTTCTACCGCACGTTAAAAATCTCAAAGTAGGAGACGAAAAAGTTTTCGTCATCGGAGATAATTTGGCATCACAATTTTCTCCCGAAGTTATCAGAAGTTTACAACTCTTGCACCATCTTCAACACACTTGCTCCAACTTCTCAATGTTGGAGTGTACGGACCTTTGAAAAAACAATGGCGTAAAGTTCTTGACAAATGGAGGCAAGAATCCAGAAAAGAAGGGTCTATACCAAAAGAGCATTTTCCAATGTTATTAGAAAAGTTGCTCCCAATATCAAAAAAATCTACAGAGCGCTTTTAGAGCCACGGGACTTTATCCGTTCGATCCCCAGGCTGTTCTGAAAAAGCTTTCAAAGGAAAATGAAGAAGAATCAACACGGATCTTTGACAGCAGTTTCCTTGAATTTCTCTAATAAAGACAGAATTCGACACAAGAGAGGAAAGAAATTCGTCGTTAAAGCAGGGACTCAACTAGTAAACAACAATGAGAGCATCCGCGTAGAGGACATTGTGGCAGACGAAGATATTAGTGAGGCTCTACTTTAAAATCAAAATCAGCCAGCTATTGCTGAAGAGGGATGTTCTGGATAAAACCAGAGGACTCTCGAAGACCTTGGGTTAACAAGAAAACCATCAAGTAAAAGAATAAAACACAAGCCCAGACGCTTCGACAACTCCTCAGATGAGGACGATGAGTGTCTTAAAACAGAGGGTGACAAATGAAGATTGTAGTCTGCGCACTACTGACATCTCTTCAAACGAAGATGATGGTAATTTATGCACTATTTGTAAGGTTGATTTTCGTCATTACCAACTTAAAAGGCCATGGATTCGCTGCGTCACTTGTTGCAAGTGGGTATGTGGCTTTTGCAATAAAGGCTCGAAAAATGTATCCTATGAATGTGAGCGGTACAAAGACGACTATTCCACTTAAGCATTTTTGTTAATGTGTTTTTTAAAGTTCCTATGTTTTTTTGTTGTTTTTTAATTCTTATGCAAAGATAAAAAAGAATGTTTATTTTTTGTTGGTTTCTTGTTTCTTAATAAGTTTATTTATATATGATTACCTATATTATTAAATAAATAACCTATTTCTTCAAATTTAACCTCTGTTTTATTAAGAAAAGTTGTATAAAACAATTTTTTTTAATTTATGGGTGTCAAAGAAACCCGCCAGACGGCTATCATTGATTTTTAAACAATATAAACGTCATGTTAAAGTAGGCCTCTTCAGGGGCTAGATTGACACCTTTTTAAAAATAATATATAAAATGTTCCTGGTAATTTATGCCGTCCCTCTTGGTTTATTTCTCAAGCCAAGACTTCAAGTGGTACGAAGAGATAGAATGAACGTCCATTAAAGCCTTTTTTTGCGTTTTGTCACAAAAACCTCTCAAAATATTTCAAAGTAACCCCGGTTTACGGTACTTAAAAATCTAACGTTTCCTCTCTTTTCTTCAACTTGTTATACGATACCACTACCTTCCTCAAGGTTACTCCCAATTTTCTGTTAAATCATTTTTAACGACTGATAAAATGTAATTATACTGATCTATGTTTAGAGAAAAAAAAAATGAAAACCGAATCTTCCTTTTACAGATGTCTCTACAAGAAATTGAAATTCTTCAATGTTCCTGACTAAATACATTTTAAGGAGCCCATCTTTCTACCAACATCATTAACAATAATTTCTGTTCTCCTTGGTCAATAATATATAATAAATGTGCTTGTTCCATTGTCTATGGCAATCAGGTCATTGACAATAGATAAATAAACGATAAATATTATTAACGCATTTTAAACCATTGTAGGAATTCAAAGTTTTAGAGAATAACTTTTTTCATAAAACTAATAATAACAAATTTGGCAGACACACTGTATAAAAATATTACTATTATCTTGTGGATACCACGTATTAATGTTACGTAATACCAAATTAATAAGATATATATTTTAAAAGGAAGTGCATATAAAATTGCACTATAGTAAGAGTTCAATTCTATTTATGTCAGTGACTTTCACTTTACAGGAAGTTGGCTTAGATGAAATATGAAGCGGAAATTGCTTCGATCTATGATGATATTTTCTTTTAAATTCCCTCCATCTTGTTTTAAGTAAATTAATAGAGACTGTATTATTTAAATGAATAAACAAATTTAATCAGAAAATCAGTTTAATGTCAAAATAATCGTATATCAAGTTACCAATTTTCAAACTTAGGACAACTTATTTTTCTCAAGATGTTCATGAGAAAAAGTTCCATACGTCAACTTGGAAATGACATTTTTAAAGCTAGTGAGAATTAAAATGTATAGAAGAATTTTAATTCTCTCAAAAAAAAACCGGCAGACCAGTCAGTGAGTTCCCACTGGCTTGAAAAATACTGTTTACTTGTTGACGTATAAAAATTCTTATAAAAATATTGAGAGAATTCACACTGGAACATTATGATTCTTTTAAAACACACAACTGAAAAGCCCTAGGCTCAAAAAAAATGATTAATTGGCAGTTCCTATATAGCGAAATTTTATCATTTTACCGTTTAAATACCGTAAAATGTCATCAAATTTTGTCTCTAAAATCTCGCGTCGTGCATAGACCAGATAATTTAAATTTTGTTGCAAAATATCTCCTCTTTTTATATTAATCCCATCTCTGAGTGTATTGAAGGAAAAGTGAAATAAAAAATAATATATAGTATGTTCTTTGTCTATACACTAAAACCGACATAAAGAACACCACATCAACGGACATGTGAAGGATTAAAGGAAATAAAACAATATAATAAAAAAAAGGATTTTAACTTATTTTAACAATTTCAATGACACATCCCAAACTTTGTAAAGAATTGTTGTATGTTAAACTCATTATTTTTAAAAAAACAAGGTTTTAATGACAAAAAAAAATATTTTAACAATAAAAAACTACTGAGGAAGGCACTGATGAGTGCTGAAAGCTTTAACCACACACACACACACACACACACACACACACACACACACACACACACACACACACACACACACACACACACACACACATGAATTTCATTTTCCACTAACACCTAAAAACCCAAGAACTGCAAAAAAAAAAACTAAATGCCTTTTACGTAAATATGATTAAAAATGTTGATGCGCTCTTATAAGTGTAATACCTTTTTGAACCTTTTTAAGGATCCTAAATTAAAATTAATGAACAGTTCATTAATTAACATGATATTCTTGATGTATATGTAATTAAAAATGTACCTTTTAGAAAAAAGTAACTTCCGGGTTAAAATGCATTTATCGTCGGATAATATCACTAGTTATGTAACATCAAACACTTGCACCTTAAAGCATACGTTCTTGTACTTTCAGTTCCCAATGCACATTTTCCTATTATAACATTTCTCCCGCTGCAAGAAGAAATTCGCCGAAGAAACAAGATTAAGATATTGTCTATGAATTTTTAGATGTACGGGAAGAGGCAAAAGTGTGGAATATACAGTGTGTAACAGACAAATTTAATAAATTCAGTAACTGAATAACTGCATATTTATAAAAAATCCCGAAACACTATGTTAATTTTTGAAATAAATTTGAAAATCACAGATATATAGAGAATGAAGATACCCTTCAAATGAGGTATTACAAGCTCCTACTTCTTATTTACAAATCTGGAGGTTGCAAATATCATTTGAAAGAGGTTGAAGGTGGGGTAAAATTTTTACGTTGCAAGATGTTATTTTATAATCTACAATTAATATTTTTTGGGATTTTCTATAAATACCGTCTCGGGAAAGCCGGTTGACTTGGGACAAGTGTACGCCATTTCTGAAAAAAAAGTCGATAAATTGTGGTGTTGAACTATTGGAAGGTAAGTGATATTTACTATGACATTTGTTTTGTTCGCTCAGTTGACACGTTCTCAATGTTGTCTTAAGATTTTTTTAAGCTGCTAAATTTAATTTTTTTTTATCGTTGGAAAACTAATCTCAGGTTCTTTTCAGGGTGACTCGGGACATGCCCCGAAAATAAATAAAGAGGCTTGGTTCTAGGCCATATCAGAATTATAAGAGCAAAAATCTGCAGAAAGCTGTTCAAGAAAGGCTGGACAAAGGAACCAGCTATAGAAATCTGGAGATTAAATACGGAATACCTAAAAATACAATAAATCAGCATGTGAAAAATAGGAATGTGAAAAAACCTGGTGGACAATTAGCCATAACGAACGTTGAAGAAAACAAAATTGTTAGTTCTTTGATGTGTCTTGCCGATTGGGGATTCCCATTAGAACCAATGGACGTGCATATTTTGGTGAAACAGTATTATGATAAAAGGGGTGTAAGTATCAGAAGATTTACCAATATCTTGCCAGGGTCGGATTGGATGAAATCTTTTCTGATTAGCCACAAACATAATTTAGCACTGAGACTGTCGGAGAACATAAAACGAGCAAGGGCTGCAGTGGATAGAAAATCAATCTAGTCATATTTTGATGAATTGAACATATCTTTAGAAAATGTTCCTCCTTCGTATATCGTTAATTACGACGAGACAAATTTTACTGATGTGTTGCGAAAATATGTAGAAAGATGTATCATGTAGTATCAATCTATATGAAAATTACAGGTACTAACGTGAATTATTTATAATACACTGTCAATTACGTCCTTAGTCACCCCGTTTTACGGCATGAACAGTAATTATTGAAAATAATCCATTTGGCTGATACACACTGTATATCCTGAAGCTTATTCTCATTATATTAATTTTTCTTCTTCTTCTAATTTATAGAAATAAAATTAAATAAAATAAAATAATTATTTGTGTAATAATATAATAAACAAAATTATTTTAATTTTTTTTTCTTTTATCATCAAAGATAACCTAAAACGACCTTAAATAATGTAATGAAATGAGTATTATACAGCATTATAATTGTTAACAGTTAAGTTGTAATATGTACTCTGTTCTTCAACAACAACCATGTCCAACTCGTTGACCCGACTTAGTGCCCATACAAATATCGTAGCAGATACTGCAGATTACAATATTATTAAGCGATACAAAATTAAAGAAGCCACCACCAATCCATCAATCATTCTGCAAACAGCCAGTTTACCACAATACAAGCAACATGTACAAGAATCAGTAGAGTACGGTTTAAAAACAGGCAATACTTTAGACGAAATGATCGAAAACTCAATGGATATGATCAATGTTTCCTTTGGACAAAAAATTTTGGAAGTAACTAATAAAATTCACATCCAAATAGACCCAAGACTTGCCTTCAATGTCGTAAGAAGTGTAAACAGAGCTCTTAAATTGGTGGGGTTGTTTAAAGAAAGAAATATTGAAAAAAGCAGAATAGTCATTAAATTACCAGCTACTTGGGAAGGAATACAAGCAGCCAAGATCTTACAAAATGATTACGGAGTTGATTGCAACATGACAACTATGTTTAATTTGGTTCAAGCAGCTGCTTGTGCAGAAGCTGGAGTGAGTTGTTTGGCTCCCTTTGTTGGAAGAATAGGTAAAAATGTATCTTACCATTTCAATATTACTATAAGATTCTTCAATTTTAGGTATGTGGTATGAAAAGAAATCTGACAAATCTCCTTCAAACGACATCCATCCAGGAGTAACAACCTTGAAACATATCCAAAGCTATATGAGGAAATTTGGGTACGAAACCAAAGTCATGGGAGCTTATTTCCTAAATTCTAATGAAGTAAAAGCTATTTCTGGTTGCGATATAGCAACCCTACCTATTCAATTAATTGAAGAATTAATCAAAAGCGACGACGATATGAAAGATAACATAGATACAAATTTTACTATAGAGAAACTTGATTTAACAGAAGACAAATTCAGATGGTTGATGAATGAAGACATGATGGCTACAGATTTATTATCAGAAGTTATTAGAAACTTTACAGCGGATTATATTGAACTAGAAAGAATTGTTAAGAATAATCTTATGAATATTCAAAAATAAAATCGTATATATAGGTACATTGAGAGAAATTCAAATATGTCAAAATAAATTCTCTTAAAATTTCTTAAAATGATTTAAAAAGTGTTAAAATCAATAAATAAAGTATATTTAATCGTACCCTGTATATTGAAAATGATAAATATTAAAAAAATATATACCTGGTAAAAGAAGTGAGCCAAACCTAAATAAAATACAAAATTTAATACATAATTCAAAATTTTTAATAAAAGTTTTGAAGTTTATAATTTTAAAGCAACTAAATTTCCCAAAATTTGATTGGTCTCATCAATTTTTCAAACAACTAGATTTGAAAAGGAACGCCATCTTTCTATTTTATATCGCGTTCTTTTATTTTAAAAAAATTTAAACTGTATTCGTCCCCATAATTTTTAGAAATTGACTGCTCTCGAAAATGGAAAAATTGTATTTTCCGAAATATTCCGATTAAACCAAGGAACATTTCTATTTATATAAAAAATAATATTTATGTTCCTACACTGTAGTTGTATACGTAGTTTAGAAGAGAGGTAAATAAATTAATGAGGCTATTTTTATCTTCATTTTAATCTGAATATTTACATGTCATTTATGGGAATTTTTAATTTTTTCCATGTAAATTACATAAATTTATAATTAAAGCCTTGAAAGTGTTACAAATAATATTTTCATAGCACCGCGACCCAATCAATTTTGCATTTCCGTCTAGTCAGTCTTTATGCAATTCAATTTTTGTTTAATGATATAATGAGGTAATCGCGGCTGTCATTTAAACGAAAAACTTGCTTAAACAAATCAAATTAAACATTTAATACATTTTTTTTTTGATACAATATCCTTACATGAGAATATATTTTTGAATTTAAGAGTAAGATAATGATTATCCATTACAGTATTATTAAGCTTTAAATCTGACTCAAATCTGCGGCTTTTTTGTTCCTTTTTCGCCACTAGAAAAAAGCATAAATGACACGGTGCAAGATTAGGAGAGTAGAACGAGTGTAATTCCTAAAAACTTGAGTGCAAACTACAGATCTATGGACTGGAGTGTTATCATGTTGCAAAATACAGAGGGGGGATTTGCCCTCGCCCCCACCTCTTGAAGTGTACTCAATACATTTTATTAAACAAGATTTTTCATTACCGCTAAAAGAGAGTTCATACTTTTTTTTCTCAAATTTGTTATTTATTTTTAAGCTATTGCATAGCTTTTATCACGGGCTTTGAACGCGGCGGGCGATTCAAAAAATTTCGTAACGAAAATAAACATCTCCCACTCCGACCGGCACATCGTCTAACGTCGTTTCAGTTCGGTAGACTTCGGCACGGTGTTTGTGTGAGTGCGACTAGACATATGCGTGTAGACTAGCTGCTAACTGCTCATAACTGATTCTATCTCTTTTAGACACAATTTCAGAAAAATTGAATTTGAAAATGAATAATGATCCACAAGAATCCACAACAAAATATGGGGCGGTATTTTCCAGATATTTAGAGGATATCAAGTCTCAAACTTATGTTTCTTATTTCAGTTACCATAAACCTATAGTTTCAATGATAAAAATTCCTGAATAACCTACATGTATTGTAAGATAATAAAAATATTTTAAACAATATTAACTTCTCATTTATTCAATAAAAGAAAAAAATTTGTTTTCTTGTCGGTCAACACTCTCAAAAAGTGTACCTTGAATTAATATCAAAGAAAAAAAATACTGCATAAATAAAATAAATAAATAAATAAATAATTATAATTGCATAAGTTGATAAAAAATTCTATGCAATAGCTTTACCGCGGCAGTCCCCGAGTGCCACACGTATTTTTATTTTCTTAGAGCGTTCTGCGTTTCTTTGTACATATTTTTAAATTTCCTATTTTCCCCTAAGCTTGCAAAGCATCATTACATTAATTTTATTATAACTCTATTAAACTGTTTTTTGCCCCTGCCCTATAGCACCACCACTGGAATTATTACATTTTTTATTTCCGTAAAATTTCCGTATTTCAATGGTAAATCTAATTATCACATGTCGAAATATATAAACCGATGCAATTTTCTATAATACCATAAATAATAGTTCGTCATTTCATCTAATATGTTTTTAGTTCTTTTATTTGTTAGCTTTGTTGCAGGTATGTAAGAGGAAAAATTAACATTTTTTGATGCCACAAATTTCATTTATGCACCAAAATATAACAAACATTAACAAAAATAGATTTGCAAATAATAAAAATAGACGACTTGATTTTACGTTATATTTTTTTTTCATTTCATGTTTTCTGGTCATGCGCGTATGTTATACCCAAGAAAATATTTTTGGTTGTTTTCGTTATGTTTTCATTTATAAGCTTTCGTGTTATTAATGTTTTTAAAATGTGTTTAATGTTTATTATAGGTACACGTAAAAGTTGTTCTTTTTAAATTTACTTGTATTATATGTTTTTTGTTTGTTTTGTTTTTAAATTATATCAGAAATAAAGTCAATATTTTCACTACCCCCCTAAACTTAAACTCTGGTTGCGCCACTGTCTAAATGTTTATTTTGTTTATATCATCTTATATTTCTTTTACTGATTCCTTTAGTTTCCTTTTTAAATTCCCTATCTCCATTTTTATATACGGTTAATTGATCTTTTCTATGTCTTTTATCTATTTTCTTCATTATCTTTCCTAATTTCTTCCTTATCTTTCCTCATTTCTTCCTTATCTTGTTGTCTATATCTCTCCATTTTGTTTCCCATTCCTCGTACCTCTTCTGTCTTAATTTTTCTTTTTTATGTTTTTTTTTTTATATAACTGTATCTTCTAATGTTTGCTCATTTATATCTTCTTCGGATGAACCAATCCTATTTCCCCCTATACAAAATTTAAATTTAAAACTTCCACCCAGTATCTTTATTTACTATTTTTTATTTATATTATTTTAATCACTATTCTATTTTCCCTTTTTTATAAGTTAGTTTTTACTATTCATTTCTCTATGCAAAAGTACACTTGCACAATAAATATCACAGACACAATATACTCGTTCTATAACAAAATCAACATTTCAAATGAAAGAAACTATCGAAAGTTTTACCAAAATTTCAAAATAAATTATACTAAAAACTGAATACAAATATTTCGAGTCCATTGTTGGGTGCCACTTGATATATAAAACTCTAATGGTGTTCTTCAATCACGTAAAATCCCCATCGGACTGGGTTTAACTCTACAAATTTTGATTTAATTTAGAAAAGAATAGAAATATGATTTTATGATGTATTCCTTCTCTGCTCTGCTATCCACCGATGTCCTCTGTCTAGTATATGGTCTCCTCACTTTCCTACTGACGCTCCGCTGTCTTTTTTCTTCGTACACTTCTCTACTTCTTCCTGGATTGTACTGTTTTCTCACATGTATTCTGCTGTTTTCCCTTTTGTTGTGTTTTACAAATAAATTTTCCTAACTTTTTTAAAATCTTTTCTTCATTCTCTCCTTTCGAATTATCAATAGCATTAAATTATAGTTACTTTCCATTTGAATCCTTTCTCAAAAATATCCATGGAAATCCAATGTTTTCCTCCAAAAATTCACCATATCAAAGCATATGCTCATGTATAGATATCATCAACTATTGGCTCAAACGTGTTCATCAATGATACAGTTGCTTAAAGTACCTACTAGAAGTTAAATGTTGATCGTACGTAACCACAAGACAATAGATTTATAATATATATGTACTAGGTTAGTAATAACTGTACCTACACTCTTCAATGTTTATTTTAGTATACATTCCAATTTTTCCAATAACTCAGGCTCAGAGGACCTACAACTGTGCTACTAGGGAATACTGTAATGACTATGTCGATATAGATTTAAGAATTCAGACTCCTAATTCTGGTAATGTAAGTAGACTGTAGGTAATAATAGTTATAATGACGATATAGTGGTCATAATATCGACTATAATATATTTTTTTAGAACCCTAATCCTACACCTACTCCATCAGGAAATTGTCCTCAAGGGTACATACCATGTACTAATATAAAATGTGGATTTTCGACACAAAAACCAGTATTCGGTAGTAATGGTCAAGCCACGCAAGGAGCTTACCCATGGCATGTTTATCTGTATAGGATTCCCGAAGGAAGAAATGCTTATGTCGGAGGAGGAGTTCTGATTAACCAATATTGGGTACTTACTGCGGCTCATAAAGTTCAAAATTACCAGTAAGTTAAGTTAATATGTTATATATGGTATTTAAGATACTATTGTGACCTTAAAAAATATATTGTGTCCCTTTATGTAGTTAAAACAATAAGAGAATGTTGTTTAAATTCCCTGAACAGTTTGGTCAACTAGTTAGAAAGGTTTAATCCCTCTGTTAGAGCGTCACGTAACCAGTGGCGTCTATAAAGATCTTGCGTTCCTATTGTCTCAATGAAGTTAAGGATTTGAAGTGACTTCAAGCTCTTGGATTCTGCATCTCCTAAGATGCTTTGATGTTTATTCAAACTTTCAGAGTACTTGCCATGTCTGAAAAAGTCTGTAACCTTAACTTAGCTTGATCTGATATAGTCTATTCTTATTTCTATTTATAAAAGATCTTTTAAGAAAACTTAAGTAATGATCCAAGTACATACAGACGTTAACTTTTATTCACTTTTTACTGTATTTTTTATAGGTTGCAACCTAATAATATAGGAGCACTTTTGGGATTATATAATCGCAATGATGCTGGCCCAACTGTACAAAATTCTGCTCTGCAAAATATCATACTTCATCCTTCGTATGATACGACAGCATATAAACCCTCATATAAAAATGATATAGCACTATTAAGATTGCAAACTCCTATGAATTTTGGAAACTATGTCAATCTCGCTTGTTTACCAGCTGCAAGAAGTTATGTAGGGTAAGTAAATATGTATAAAAGTAATCTAATTTCAGGTCAGTGTAATATTAGGAATAAACTAAAGGTTCTGCTTTTGGTTCACTATTGTTTTTGATTTATGTTTTAAGTATAAAATCTTTGTAGCGCAATACCACAATACCCGACGGTGTCCCACGTAATCTGGTAAAACAAGAAATTTAAAATTGTCTTTTAATGACATTTTATGACTACTTATATATCAGTTCTGACCACATACTTTGATTTTCTTTTACTATACGGAGAATGGTCGCACTGCGCAGCTTTCTGAGTGCCTTTTAAAAGGAGATAGAAAACTCCGCCATTTTGAACCCTTATTACGTGTTGCCTACATCTTGGCGCAATATTTTTAATAGGTGTGTTTTAATCATCCGCTTCTGCTTCGGAATTGTCAGTTTTCTTGTTTTAATCTGACAGGTTAAAACGACTAAACCGACAATTCCGGAAGCAGAAGCAGATGATTAAAACGCACCTGATATTTTGCTTGTTGCTGTCAGTGTCAGTGAATATTATTTTTGAAGTCACAGTTTATTGCTAAAGAATCAGTTAGCTCACTCGGACCAGTTGAAAGTTCCAAAATAACATCCACTTCAGGGATACAAATTCAGGATACGCAGAAGACTGCTGTTTTATTATAGGCGGTTGTCATATATTGTATTATCCGAGTTGCACAGTGAGCGATCTGATTCTTTAGCTGTAAACTGTGTCACAGGGTTCAAAATGGCCGCGCCCCACATACTTTGATTTTCTTTTACTATACGGAGAATGGTCGCACTGCGCAACTTTCTGAGTGCCTTTTAAAAGGAGATAGAAAACTCCGCCATTTTGAACCCTTATTACGTGTTGCCTACATCTTGGCGCAATATTTTAAATAGGTGCGTTTTATTCATCCGCTTCTGCTTCGGAATTGCCGATTTTCTTGTTTTAATCTGACAGGTTAGAACGACTGAACCGACAATTCCGGAAGCAGAAGCGGATGATTAAAACGCACCTGATATTTTGCTTGCTGCTGTCAGTGTCAGTGAATATTATTTTTGGAGTCACAGTTTATTGCTAAAGAATCAGTTAGCTCACTCGGACCAGTTGAAAGTTCAAAAATAACATCCACTCCAGGGATACAAATTCAGGATACGCAGAAGACTGCTGTTTTATTATAGGCGGTTGTCATATATTGTATTATCTGAGTTGCGCAGTGTATAAACTGGAACATTGAGATAAAAAGTGCCGATGCAGAGTGAGCGATCTGATTCTTTAGCTATAAACTGTGTCATAGGGTTCAAAATGGCCGCGCCCTATGTTGGGCGTGTCGGACCTCTCTCTTGCCCCGTATAGTAATCAAAGTATGTGCCGCGCCCTATGTTGGGCGTGTCGGACCTCTCTTTTGCCTCGTATAGTAATCAAAGTATGTGGTTCTGACTGTATTTATGTCTGTCAATGACATTCTTTTAGGTTTAGGCCAGGGTTAGGTGTATACTGATTATTATTGTTACGTTTTAGCCAATTGATAGCATCAGTTTGGTCACGTGGGATACGACTATTGTTGAAGACTCTGTATTTGTATTTTTTAACCCAATATTATAGTCAAATAAATTTTTAGAAATCAGTGCACGATATGGCACTTTATTTTACTTGTTTTACAGCTCTTCGGCGCAAAACTGCGTTGTGGTGGGATTTGGACAAACCACTTTTGCAAATAACGATGCACCGTATACCTATTTAAAACAGGCATTCGTACCGATCGTTACAATAGATGAATGCAATAGAACGTTCTATCAGATAGGAATAGAAACGTCTTATTATTTGGATGGTCAAAATGAAATTTGTGCTGGTGGTCAAGCTAATGTCGATGCTTGTACGGTAAGTTAAAATGGACACCTCCCTTTTGTACTGTCGCCATTGTGAGCATATTTTAATTATTATCTACGGCCATGAATTATCAGTACTATTTCAAACTTCATATTGCTTGATGCATTGTGTTAACATACTGTTACTGATTGCCTCTGGGCCTGATGGATTTAACAGGGTGAATGAATGGTTATATAGATTTTGATCATCCATATTTTTCAAAATAAACATAAGCCTTTAACTAAAAAGGTATGTAATCGTCATATTAAGGATAACCAAATAATTTTTAATAAGTGTCTTAAGAAAAATGCATTTTGCACTGTTTGGCACCAATGGTAAGTAATATTTACGAACTTAAATATAATGAAATAAAATCAAATCAAAATATAAATTTTCAAAATATTTGACTAATTTCAAATCACAAAACAGTCAATATGGTTGTTTTATGATTTGAAACTAGTCAAATATTTTTCCAATTTATTTTTTTTTGTTTGATTTTCTTCATTACATTTTTGCCATATTGAATTTTAGTACCACTCCAATTTGATAGCTGGCAGCACATCGCCTCAGAATTTTACCATTGAGTTTCCCATCTATTCACTTTCCCCTAATCTATGGTGCGAGGTTTCTAAACGCACTCCAGTTTTGAAAGGTCGATGGGATGCAACACATTTTACATCTATATTAATGTGTTGATAGTTACATAAGTTTGAACCAAATTTACAATAATAGTTTTCAAAACTAGATGTTGAAACACAATTATATATTTTTAACATTCGTTGTCATTAAGTAGTATACTCTATAGATTTTACTTCTTACTGTTACAAAAGCGCGGGTAGGCTAGAAAATATTTTTTTCTAATTTTGATATATAAAGCGACATTTTTTGAAATCGCAGGAGTGCGTTTATTATAGGGTCCAGACGCGCCATGCAATGTTTCTAAACTCACTCCTGCATGTGTCAAAATGATCTACTTTACTCGTTCATGTTGTGGGACCTCGCTCTGCTCGTATCGCAAATATTCATTCGTTACATTTAGCTATTTATTTATTTTACAAAAAAAAAATTTGTAGCCTTTCTATATTAACGCTTTCTTGAGGAAAAGAGGTACTATAATGTATATATATAATGTACTATTTGTTCTTTTATAGCAAGATGGAGGTTCTGGATTGGTATGCAGAGATAGTCCGACTGGTGTTTTCAGCGTCGTTGGTTTAGTTATCTGGGGAAAGAATTGTGGGGTACAAAATAGATATGGAGTCTACGTCAATGTTCCATCTTATTTAGGTTTTATAAGTCAATATGTGCGTTAATGGAAAGGATTTTTATATTATTATGTATTTTTGAATAAAACTTTGTTAAAATGAAGAATGAGTGTATTTTACAATGAAAAACTATTAAATGCAGCTTTTGAAAAGTACCTCGTTTTTATTTTTTACTCGATACCGTTCTTCTATTATATCCAAGCTCCGTTTGCTCCATTGATATGGTTTGCTCAAAGGCACATGGCTAAAAAATATCCTCGCTTTGCTCGAGGAGGTACATTTCAAACGTATGATTGACCAAAATTTAAGTTTTCATTTAAAAACCTGATAGAGAAATTATCTGGTAAGTTTTTGTCATGAAATTCCTAAGCCTAAGCAAGAGCGACCTTCAGCTGGCAGCCGAGGCGACGGAACGTTCAGGAATGCCACTGACGCATAAAAACGGCTAGAACGGGCGGAGAGTGCCGTTGAGTCAGAGATTGAATTTTCGGGACCGTCTAGAGTATTCTGGTTACAGAGTTGGCTTGATATAAATATCGCGAGTTTGAAGATGGCAGTCAGTTGATTATAGACAGTTTAGTATAGAGCATTGTAATGAAAATTAAAGTGTAAGAAATAAATCAGAATTGTTAGTTAGTGTCTAAGTATTATATAAATTATTTAGTACGTCATAAATAAATTGTAAATAGTGTGTTTTAAATAAATAAACTATAAATAAATTAGACTATCTTTACATTATAATAAGCTTACAAAGAAATATGCTTTATATTGTGATTATGAGTTTCATATAACGTTACTTTTTGAAACAAAATTGGTCTAAATGTATTACATACTATATTGTCTTGGGGGTGAATAACAACGCACACATACTCCAAGAGTTACTTTTAATGCCCACAATACAACTTACGTACATACAACTTAACGGTCATCATGACCAAGAGAACTGAGAAGGAGGCGTATAGTGCACGCTCTACAAAATCGTACATTCATTACAGTAGGTTCTACTTGTATGCAACACAACATACACATATGTTGTGTGTGCTATCTAACTTTTACAACTACAGGGTAAGGCACCGAAAACGAAACAGATCGCATATCTTGAAGACACATTTTTTTTTGAGAAAATGCAAAAAGAGGTCGATTTTTATTTCAAAGGGGACATCTTTCGATCATATCCTCAATTATCCTACATCTCTTCCCACCCCTCCGTCATTATTAGCAATGAAATTGAAATAGAGAAAGTACTAAATGTGACACACTTAGTACTTTGTCACTACATAGTTTGATTTTCATTTACTATACGGAGAATGGTCGCACTGCGCAGCTTTCTGAGTGCCTTTTAAAAGGAGATAGAAAACTCCGCCATTTTGATCCCTTATTACGTGTTGCCTACATCTTGGCGCAATATTTTTATTAGGTGCGTTTTAATCATCCGCTTCTGCTTCGGAAGTGTCGGTTTTCTTGTTTTAATCTGACAGGTTAAAACGATTAAACCATTGATAAGGCAACGTAAGGATACGTCATATGTATTATTTTTGATATACAAAAGTGGGACCGGTAGGCGTGGCTTTTGCACTCACTAAAATGGCGGAAGAGCAGAACCGGATTTACAAGTTTTTATTGTACTATTTCTGGTTAAGTATCATTATTTGAATTATAAAAAAACTATTTTCCTTTTTATTGACATTGACTTAAAAGGTGGTGGAAGGCAGAGGTTATAAAAGAAGGGGATTTAAAAGCTTAAATATGCCCGGTTTTCAGCCGACAGGTGCTGAATAAAGTAAATGAAATAAATAAAATATAACTGATTTAATTATCACTCAAGGGCTATTAAGCGCTGGAGAATATATTATTTGCAAAATTGCAACTAATCAATGACCATGATATAACTAACTTGGGGCCGATTCCACCATTGGGTTTAACGATCTCTGTGTGTAGGTAGATGCACTATTCAGGAAATCAAAATGTGGATTAATCTTACTTGGTCTTGGTACTTTTGTAGATTCAGACTGAAAGGTGTATATCTTCATGCAAGACATTCAGTAAATCAGCGAAGCCACAACCAGCGGTGTGCAGGTGCACTTCTAACAAATGTAAAATATGAAGTGATCTTACTTGAGACCTATAGATCCAATGACGATATTATGGTAGTTGGTTTGAGCTGGGCTTCTCACCATCTGCAGAGATTATGGCTACTTATGTAAAGGCCTACCGTAGTAACACACAACATGCACCACAAGCGTGCCGGTCCAATTTAATTGGTCTATGCACAATAATCATGCATGTATGATTGAAAGTCAGACAAAGAATGTGAAGATAAAATTGAAGTCTCAATCATAGTTAAAGTCACAGATGAAGTTAAAGTTAACAGCAAAAGAGTTGAAGTTGTAGGCTGGTGATAAAGGGACCAACATCTAGGTAATAAATGTTTATCGAGTTAGGAAAAGTATCCACTATATTGATGTTAAATATTTATTATTATAAGAACTTATATGCACTATACTATGCTTTAACATCACTAAACTAACTCAAAAGGCTTGGTCTCTTGAGTCTTCTTATTCGATTTGGCATTGTTGAGAAGCTGGATAATCTCGAGGTTTCCATGCTGGAGCAGTTGTTGTTAGTGACTACTGGCAAATTTTTGTATTGTATTTTTAACAGTCTCCACTTTACGGTCCCTATGAAGATCAGTATTGTGGCAGTACCAGGGTGCATTGACGATGTTCCTTAATGCTTTGTTCTGGAAACGTTGAATAACTTTGATGTCACTTTTCTGACACATCCCCAAAGTTGGCGAATCACTTCATTTTCACCAATTCCTTTAAACGCACTAATCTGAAACAAATTATAGGTAATTAAAAAGGTATATTATTATTGTTTTAAATTAACTATAATAAAACAAACAATACTCATGCATACACAAAACATGAAGCTCTACTTTTCAATCAGCTGTAGAAATAATAAATAAAATTGGTGGAAGGACAGCAAATGAAGGTTATATTTAAATAGAAATAAGAATATAAAATGCCTATAAATTAAATTTGATAAACGAAATGGCGTACGATTAATGTACTTCTCAAGAAAATGCTTGAAACATATACTACTGAATTTAGAAGGTTACCAATTATAATTGTTGACAAACTGTATCCACGCGCTACGTTTTATAGGATTTTCTGGAAATCTATAAATATTATTTCGTATGAAAAAGTATTATTCCAATATAGGTAGGCCCAACAGTTGATAGATGATTTTTTTTGCATTTTTAAAAGCATACTTTTACACATTTTATACAAACCTGTCATAATACTGTCCTGTATAATATTTATAATTTTGATACTAACCTATGAAACGTTATTCCAGTCGATTTTTCACAAAAACCCAGATAGCATTTGATATCCTATGTATATACCTCAGAGGTTCTGCTAGTGGACATGTCCTGGTGTATGTACTTAGAATATACATAACACATACATTAATGTATATACATTAAACAGACATATTATGTACCTACCTAGAGGTACATACGTTTTGTGAACATTCTACGAATATACCACTCATGAATATTTCTGAATATGCATTTAGTGTACATCCTACAAATATACATCTTATGACTATTCCGGAATATTCAGAGTGTGTACATCCTACAAACATGTAACTTATTAAGAATCAGTAATGTACATTTTGTGTATATCCAGAAAATATACCTTTTACGAATATTCCTGAATATGCATTTCGTGTATATCCAGAAAATATACCATTTCCGAATATTCCTGAATATGCATTTCGTGTACATCCTGCAAATATACATCTTGTGACTATTCCGGAATATTCAGAGTGTGTACATCCTAAAAACATACCTCTTGTGAACTTTTCAAAACTTGCAATTTGCTTATATCCTACAAACATGTAACTTATGAACAATCAGTAATATACATTTTGTGTATATCCAGAAAATATACCTTTTACGAATATTCCGGAATATTCATTTTGTGTACATTCTGCAAATATACTTCTTATTACTATTCCGGAATATACAGAGTGTATATCCAGACAGACAAAAAACGTCTAACAACAAATGATTTTTATTCGTACCTACACAATGCCTACACAAAACAGAACGACAGAAGACAAAACAAAGTAAATTTTAGCGAATAACCAAGTTGAGATGTTAATATTTTGAACGGCAATAGACATATTTTTTATGTGTGATAGACGGAGACGGGACAGTTATCCTGTTACAAAAATAATGTTACTCGCGAAAATATAATAATTTTAGATTTCAGCAGCTGAACTCCCTAACTGGATGTGGATGTTTGAAATGGTACGAGTGTACGAGAACAATTCCTATGCGAAAATATACGACGTGACCACGTCTCGCTCTCTCAGATCCATACCGATGTGAGAGAGAGAAGTATAATTATTCTCCTACAATTCAAACATCAGTACTGGTCTGGCAATACAGGCATCTGCACTTATTTTTTCGGAGAAGACGTTGTAAATAAATTACTGCCGGTAGAGGTCGCGCCCATACAATTTATGGTTATTTTCCGTTTTTTTTTTATTTTACAAATAAACAGGTAATGATTTAAATTCACAGAACACCTCTTCACTGTGATTTAGTTATTTAATTGTGTGAAAGTGATAACACTGTTTTAATTTAATTAACAACTGTGTAATACATTTTATTAGTTGCGCCATCTATAGGATCACTAGCCCAATTATATACGTCTTTTACTTTGAGTAATTTGGCATGATCGTCGCGGCTGCGCAGACTGCATGACACAGTTCACTTCTTTGTGCTATGTGCTGTGCTGCGTCATATTTGCTCCATTTTGTTATTTTTGTTGGGTAATCTAAAGCAGAAAACCTAACCTATTTTTGTCTTGTGTCCCGCTTCCCGGCATTCGGCAATCCAGTTTTGTTAGTTAACTATGTATAGAGTTTTGTGTGGTATAAAAGCTAAATTTATAGAAAATAAATATAAGTGTAGCCATTTTAGGGATGTCTTATTGCCAAGAGCAAGACTACGATATCCCTTATAAAAGGACAAGCTGGGTAACTTGTCCTCTGGACATAGCCCAAAAAAGAACAAAAAGAGTTTTGTGCGTGCTTTTTAGTTATTAGTATTGAGTAACTTCACTTGATAGGTATTTGCGAAATTTGGCAAGGTAAGTTTAAGGACTGAAGAGAGATTGTAGATTTTTTTTTTATTTCTCTAACATATTTTAATACCACGTTTCTCGTTTTTGCAGATCCGTCACGCCAGTGTTTGTGTGTGTAATTGAATACGTGACTTCACTTCATACTTGCGATAAAGGTAAAGTAATTTTATGGCATTGTAGTTATTTTAATTTTAAATATGCAGAGAGTAACAAAAGGTATCATTAAAAGATCAACTACAGCTTCAAAGAAGCTCATTAAAAAAAGTGCTGCTAAAAGAGTACAGGGCATACTAGCTCTGTACAACAATAGAAATGCAGAACCAAGTCAAAAAAAAGCATTAAGACCTAGAACGGAGTCCAGCAGAAGTTCAGGGTCTGAGTTTGTCTCCGTGATTTTAGATGTTTCTTGTGGCATGTTTAGTTTTTGATTATTTGTTGGGAATACTTTTATAAAATAAACATCTCTTTTTTCCTGCATGGGTTTTATTATATTTTATCAACAAACAGTATAAAAATCTGAAGAATAATTTTGTTTTAGATCAATGAGCTCTCAAGAATTGGAGGTGGTTCAACAGTCCAAACAACAAGAAAAATTATGTATCGCCTCATCTCAAATAAATTGGGAATGAAGTTTTCATGGGAAGGAAAAAAAATAAAAAAACATTTAAACATCTGAAGTTGTCAACAGTAATTTTAGGTTAATATAAATATTATTTAGTAAAATACTGTGATTTTTACATATTTACTAGAAAAAAATTATATCTTTATTTTTTTAGAGAGCGTTAAAAGGTTTAAATCCCAATCCACAGAAACTGAAATTATCAATACCATAAAATTATGGTTGGTGAGAAGTAAAGACCGCCATGAAAACTCCGAGAAAAGACAGCTTGATGAACAAAACGTAAGATTGTTTATATTTTTAAATTGAATAACTAATATCAGTATTCCCTAATTACAAGAACTAACCCATTTAATTTTGATAACTTTATTTGTCCTAAGTAATCAGTCATTTTAGGTTTAAATGAGCTGACTGAATATACTTATTAACTAATATTCACCTATTTTAATTCATATTCAATATTTTTAATGTGTGTAAACTTATTTAATTCAATTTTTTATTTTTAGGTTGAGACTGCAGTTGAGAATTAAGAAATTAGGAAAAAAATAAAAATTGTTTTGGCTGTTTTTAAAAATAAGTTTTAATAAAAAGTATATGTTTCTTTAAATGACACACAATATATATTTTTAAATTGTCCTTTTTATCCTGATACCTGACTTATAATTTAGATCATTATCAGTTTTGTAAATTTTGAAAAATCTATTGGTGTAAAAAGTACATTATGAAGTATACATAATATATATGTATATGTGTGTGTTCTGGGTAGATTCCTTTAGTAAGTGCTATATAGGTAAACCTGACATAATATTTTTGAGAAGTGTGTACATAATATAGGTACTATGTAGATATATTTGAATTTCATACATTCACTTATCTACAGAGTAATTCATTCTTATGTTCCAATGATAGAAAAAAGTTAAATATAAATTATTTAGGTACCTATTCATATTAACAATTGTATGTACATAGCTCTTACCTATAGGAATATACCTTGAATATACCTAGAAGGATGTTTTTAATACATGCATAGTATATACTGGATATAACAGGTACATACATGGAATATATATCAAATGAATGTAGTTAGATGTACATACCATGTATGTACATTCACATGTACATATACACATCCATGGAATGTACAAAAAGGGGAATAAGGTACATACCATGTATGTCCTTTGAATGTCCACAATGATAATTAGGTACATTCCAGGTATATACAAATTCATAGAAAGTATGTTCATAAGATATACCTGGTATGTGAAAATGCTATCTGGGAACGTCTATCGCTAGAGCAGGAACGTATAACACAGCAAGGCATTATATACTTTATAAGTTTGTAACACTCAAAATTTGATCAAACACAAATTAAATTCAAATTTAATTACACAAATGACACTAAAAATATAACCTATAAAATTTGACAATTTGCACTCACAGTAATGGCGGACCGGTCCCACTTTTCGCTTACTCATGTCGTATCCCTAGGTTGCCAGATCAATGGATTAAACCGACAATTCCGGAAGCAGAAGCGGATGATTAAAACGCACCTGATATTTTGCTTGCTGCTGTCAGTGTCAGTGAATATTATTTTTGAAGTCACAGTTTATTGCTAAAGAATCAGTTAGCTCACTCGGACCAGTTGAAAGTTCCAAAATAACATCCACTCCAGGGATACAAATTCAGGATACGCAGAAGACTGCTGTTTTATTATAGGCGGTTGTCATATATTGTATTATCCGAGTTGCGCAGTGTATAAACTGGAACATTGAGATCAAAAATGCCGACGCAGAGTGAGCGATCTGATTCTTTAGCTATAAACTGTGACATAGGAATCAAAATGCCCGCGCCAAAGAAAATCAAAGTATGTGGGCCGCGCCCTATGTTGGTCGTGTCAAACCTCTCTCTTGCACCGTATAGTAATCAAAGTATGTGTGTGTCACACTTAGTACTTTCCCTATTTCAATTTCATTGGTAATAGTGACAGAGGGGTGGGGAGGGATGTAGGACAGTTGAGGATATGATCGAAAGATGTCCCCTTTGAAATAAAAATCGACCTCTTTTTGCATTTTCTCCAAAAAAAATGTGTCTTCAAGATATGCGATCTGTTTCGTTTTCGGTGCCGCACCCTGTATATAATAATATTAACAAACAACAGATATCACATATTAATTTTTTTTTAAATATCTAAAAGTATAGTTAAATTTAACCTTACAACACAAAAAAATTCTTTCAAAACACTATTAAATGAATAAGTTCATGACTTGAAGTAATAATTTAGGTAATAACTGTTTAAACATATTCAACAGCTCAAATTTTATTTTAAAATACATTTGGGCTAGACCGATTTCTATCAGTGAGACAATATGGCCGCGCACATTGCGACCTGCTTTTCGTCTTATTAACAAATGGGTCAGCAATCTATATAAATATATATCATTGGTATAGACCTGTAGTATTTATCAAATTTGTAGGTTATATTTATTCAAAGTGTTATTGTTCACCGTTTTTTTAATTTTGGAATGTAAGAATAGTATTTAAAGATCATGGACTCAAGTACATACATTTTGGACACAATTCGTCAAGAAATAACTGAAAATAACCTTCAGCTCAAAGCCCTAATTCAAGATATCGATGAATGTATTGGACCTCTAATAGAGCTGCAAGCCCTAAATAATGCAGGCCGTTCAAAGATAAGTACCCTAAGGAAATTAATAGGTAAATTAGGAGATGCAGCAAAAGAAAATAAAAGCACAGAGTTAGAAAAAGAGGTTGTTTTACAACGGGAACAGTTAGCCAACAGTATGGATTCCTTTAAAAAGGCGAATTTAAAGTCGATGTTAGCTATAGAAAAGGGCGCTAAAGAGGAACTTCTTAAACCGAAATACCCAGAAAGTATCGTAAGGCAACGTCAAAAGAGGGATAAGGAAAATATGGCTACAATGAGTTCTAATGTAACAGATCAGCTACTTTCTATCAGTCGACAATTAGCAGATACTACGCAAAAAAGTGCAGCCACGCTAGAGTCGCTAGTGTATTCTTCCGATAGTGTAACTGGCACTCAAGAAGAATTAAAAGTTACATCGGGTGTTATTGGACAATCTGGAAAGTTATTAGCGAAATATGGTAGAAGGGAATTTACTGATAAGATTTTAATGTGTTTTGCATTTGCTTTTTTCATTTTTTGTGTTTTGTATATTGTACAAAAAAGACTATTTTAAAAATAAATCATTACATTTATTTATATTTTGAATTAAGATTTTTTCCATACTTGGACTAAAAATGGCGTCGGCTCGATCATAGGGTGTCAAGCAATGATATATAGTTATATACATTGCTCATCCATGAGTAAATCGCATGACGTAAAATGGGTTTTTATAAGGCGTATTTTTCCTTTATCTAATGTATGTAACGTTTATCTTTTATCTCAATTTTGTCGTTAAAATTTTTACATGTTTAAATATTCATTTTATAAATATAAACTATATAATTTTACAGATAATACCTTTTTCGATTTTCGGCTGCCAAACTCTTAAATTTCGATTCGTGGAGATGTCGCCGACAGGCTCCGCGAACAAAGCTATTAGATTATAAATTTTAAATTAAAACTAGTTTAGGATGTTACTAAAAAATTGTATCTAATTTGACAAAATATTATCGTTCTATTTATAATGAGGCAACAATAATTAATAAATTTTATTTAGTAAGGACCGATTCCACCGCTGTGTTAAACGAAGTTTAAAATGACATTTTTACATTAACAACGTCATTTTAATCTCCATTTAACACAACGGTGGAATCGGTCCTAAACAAGAGAATTTTGTTTACTAAAACTTAACCTAACAAACATTTTGTTTTAGCAAGTTTACGGACTTTAAACGTATGTACGTTACTTCAAGTAGTGGCCTTTTGGTGGGGATTTGCAATTGGTAAGTCGCTTACAATGGGCGGCAGAAGGCAGTCAACACTTTACCAGCAATAAGTAGTGAAAGTCCTGTACATGGTCAGCAGTTTCCCATATTATTATTGTTAATTATCCTTCAGTGGCCTTGCATAAAACTCGTAACTTTACAAGAAATAAGTAGTGAAAGGCCTTTACACATAATATTAATGTTAACTTCCCATCAAAGGGCTTGCATAGGGCTCTTATAAAAATTATGCCGAGCTTTTAAAGGATATGTTCCATGTGGGTCTTCTACGAAAACTATATTCATAAAATATTCTAAATTAACAATATGTAGGGTCGATGGTGTAGCGGTCTAACGCGCTTATATTCATTTATAGGCAAGTTTATGAGTCCGAGACTGCTGAGCTTCGAATCCCAGACCATGTGGATTTTTAATTAAATTGCATGGTTCGGTTTAAGATTTGATGTGTGCCGTATTAATAGAAATTCAATTTCTATTGATATGACATGCAGATTATAAAAATCGCCATACGTTATCGTCTCGATGATGGTGGGTGAGGTTTTCCAGGATATCCTCACCTGTAAGTCAAATGGCACCATCAATCATCCTTAAGTCGCCCCGGAGCGCCACGGCAAATAATAATAATGGCCGTCCCTTCCCCTACACAAGTCGTTCAGTCGACTTCAGGAGTTGAAATTCACTCGTAAGGGGGTGAATTAGGGAGAGTATTATTATTATGTAGACGTAAGAAATTACAATGAATACCAGCAATGCGAGACTGGCTGCGTCGTACACATGTTCGCTCGTTGAGTATGTAGCAAGAGATCATCGGTGTCTCCATTTATGAACGCGGAACGGTCCATTTATACAAATTGTATGGATGGAACGACATTTTCAGAAGTAACGTAGCTCAATGCTACACTGTCGATGCAAAGGAAAAGACCTTATGCTAGCGTGAGTAATTAGTGTCTTTAATTTTTGTTTAGAATATAAATTTAGATTGATTTCCAGTCTCAAAAGTCAAATTTAAAGAATATAAACTTCTAACTTGTCATTGTCATTTTATCACGTGACCATAAAGTCTAGAGCGAATAGGTTCTTTCGTTCGTCCCACTGGTGTAGGAATGAACTACACCAACGGACACTAAACCTTTCGTTTGTTCCGGTGTAAAAACCACGATGTTGTATCCATTAGTAGATATTTTCTCCACCAGCTATTTAGCAGGAATGAATTGCAATCGACATGTGTATAAGGAATAAGGTGAAAGTAAACTATGGTAAATAAATTGGTGGTAACAGGTGTAATTTACACTGGTGGACATTACACCAACAGCGAACGAAAGAACCTTTTGTTTATTACATCTACATACAGATCTAAAATCCTCTACTACGTGCTTAGGGCCGATTCCACCGTTGTGTTAAACGGAGATTAAAATGACATTGTTAATGTAAAAATGTCATTTTAAACTTCGTTTAAAACAACGATGGAATCGGTCCTTAGACTAGGATCTAGTTTAAGATTACGTGATAAAAAATTCACATCTCAGTTGCATCCGATGTAGACATTCAAACGCGGCATTATTTTACAAATGGGTAAGCAATCTATAATCTATATAACTATATAGCATTGAATGATATGAACAAATGACATGAAAGGTTTGTTCTGGTTCTCAAAATGAAAACTGTTTTGAAACTGCGCCGGACCGTATGCGTAAAGGCAAAAAATCCCCGACTGTTTGAAATTGTTGGAAAACCAGAACACATGAAGGTGTTTTGTTTATTATTTATTATAATAATGCAGTTCCTTTTGAAAGCTCAGCTTCAAATAACATTTGCCTGTTCATCATTATCATCCTCATCACATTTCAATGGAATAAAAAGAAACGAGAGAATAATATTAAAAAATTAATAATTCTAAAATTGCTTTATTTTACAAATAAAACAAGAACAAGAGACATTCGTCCACATATAAATAAACAAATTGGGATTGTATACGTTTCGTATAGTCTAAAAAGCTAATACAATATTCATAACACTTCAAAAACGCATGCGCGGTCAAAACAGTCCGAGTCGATCCACACTCCCAAGCATGAACACTTTTTGACTGTTTACAACAATCACGGATTATTTCGGATACGAAACCAGAACACTGGACTGAGAGATCCGAAGTAGTCCCAGAAAAACCAGAACACTTTTTATCTACTGCGCATGAGCCCGACAGTTGTGGATCGTTATTTCTCAAAACCAGAACAGACCTGAAGAGATTTTTTTGAGGTTATATTTATTGATTTTTCACTATTTTAAGTGGATTTTCAAATTAAATATAAAAAATAATATACATTAGTACCACAGTATAAAGATCTTTATACTGTGTTAGTACCTATTAATAATGAATTTAGAATCGGAAAGTGTTCTGTTAACTATCATAGAACCATTTTTTGGAGGATCTCACAAAGTTTTGGTTGATACATTGACTAAAAGTATGTTATTTACAAAAATTATTTCATTTTCTCTAAAAAAATATAAGAATTGTGGAAAAATTGTACATCAATTATGTGTATTTTCTGAATTAAAAATAATATGCTTTCTATTTTTTACAATTGTGTGCGATAAAATCATTTTTGTTGTCATTTGGTCATTAGAGTTAATAAAAACGTTAATTAGGCTTTCAGAATCATAAAATCAAATATTCCCTAATTACTTTACCTGCAAAAAAATGGCATTGGAGAGCCAGATGTGGTGCTTTGCAATTATACGACAAAATACCTAAAATTACCACCGAGAAAGTATTATGGACAAGTTCTGTTTTAAATTTAGCGGAGTTACTTGGTCTTCGACCTGACCTGATCCCTTTGAAGAAAATTGTCTATTTTCATGAAAACCAGCTAATATATCCTGTACAACAGATTAAATCCAGAGATGTGCAGTATTCTTATAATCAGATTACTACATGGTAAACAATATAAGATCGGATGTAGGGTGAAGGTACCAAATAATGAGGGAAAGAAATCTTTATTAAGTAGGCATGCCTAATATACAAATAAATAGATAATTAGCTCGAGAAATAATTGAATAGTAGCCATTAAAAGATCAATTATTTTGAAATATTGAAAATTTATTTGTCATACTAACACGGAGTTTATTATATTTCAGCAATCCTTTATAAAAGAGTGTTGTTCTGATATAGTTTGTTCAATTAGTATTTAGGGTATGTGTGAATTTTATAATTATAGGTGATAAATTGGTTAAAGTATGTTGGAGTTTTAGAATGAACAGATTTGAATATGGAAACCATAGCTAAATAAAAAATGCGGGATCTTACAGATAACCAGTTTAAAATGTTTAACATTAGCTTAATTGGAGTTTATTTGTTACATTCCTATGTTTTGTAACTTTTCTATTGATGAAATATTATTAGAGCATAATAAAAATAATGAACTTTGCAATATTCACAAAGAGGCTGAATATTATATTTATATATAAGAATAGACATTAAATGTTAAGTTTTTCTGTACACAATTAAAAAGTACAACTTTTAACAAATCTTTTCATAGATATAATTTAAAATTACAAATTTTAAATTCACATGCCCCATTATACCTGAAATGCACTTTTTATAATTTTTTCATTGCATTTATTATCGATTGAATTGAACTTCTTATGTTACTTTCAACTATTTGTAATCAAGTCCTTGGTATGGATTTAGAAATTGAAGATTTAATTTCAAGTATACTGTTAATGAATGTTTTTCCACCTTCCTGTATGTATTTTGTCCTAGCTAGACGATTATTTCTGAGGTAACTCACTTATAAAAAAATATCACTTAAACCCTTTTGCTTCTAACCCCTTCCTAAATAAAATTGTTGGATTATTAAAAACTTTAACTTTTGTACTTTTAAGTAAAAAATTATTAATTATTAAAGAGGGAAATGTGTTGTATATTGTAAATATTACTGATACGCCAATGGGATATTTATTTATTTCTTGTGTTGATTTGTTATCTCTCAGATAGTACATCGATGGATATGTACAATATTAAAAAAATATCATTTTTGTATTAACAGTTAATAAATAAAAAATATAAATACTTGAATTGGTTCCAAATTGAAAACTTTAAGTGTTATATAAACTTCATATTAAGGACAATATAACAAATCTTCATCATTTTTTAAACGGAATAGAAGAGCCTAAATATTGAAAAAAAACTCACCTTATATAAACATTATACTGCTTTCTTTTTATCCCTTTAACAGCTGGTCCATTTTACTTCACATTTTACCCATTATTCGAATCCATATCCATTTCGTACACTCCGGAAATCTTCTTTTCCCGGCAACGTCAGTTCATTCCGACATCAAAATCATTCTATCATTCCCTACCTCTAATACAGCCCTTAGATACTCTTACAATTCATTAAACATTCTAAAATCAAACACTTTAGTGTTATATTACAGAAGAAAAACAAGAATTTTAAGTTTGTAACTGTTTGATTTAAGTAAGTTCAATATAATTATAAAATATCATCGGGCTATATCGCTGCCAGCCTTGTCTATTTAACCCAAGAATTTACATCAGAAATTAAATATATAGAGCTAACAAATCTTAGAATTAAATTCTAAAAGATGTAACCCTTAATAAATGATTTCAAAAGACGTAAATAGCGTGGATCAAACATCTTTATTGTCAGAGAGGAAGGGAATGATCCCAAACAAAATCGTTGATGTGAATATAAAAATAATAACATCGACGAAGCCAAACACTCAAAAAACTAGCTAAAATTTAACAATATTTATATTTTTTTGAATTTTACGAAGTAATGTAGGCACTTTTTTATTTAACGAAAAGTTTTTGGATGTAAAATTGTTTTTTACGTAGAAAAAAGAAATTAAAAACCAATCTGAAGGTTTACCAACATTTTTAAAATCGATAGAAACCTAAAAATATGATTTTAACTGAAAAATAAAGTAATTCTATATTTATTTGATTAATTTATCAAAGTCTGAAAAGATTATATGCATAATTTCAATTACTAGGCAATAAATATAACTTTTTTTAAATTATCTCTGCCAAAAAACGTTTTTTAAATAAATCCTACAATGTATTTTAGAATCCCTACTTTTATTCTATAACCAAAAGTACTTCAAACGTAATATTCCTGAAATCCTGCCGATTTTGCTCGAAAATTCTTCCAAAATACACCTGTAAACCTAGCCGCGGTGACAATTTGACAGATATTTTGTTTCATATTTAATGTCAATATTTTCTCTTAAAAATCCAATAAAATATTTGCATCATTTTTTTTTAATTACTATTTTTTTTTGTCATTAAAAAATTCAAGTTCTTGTTTGGGACATTCTTTATATATTTACGCTTCTCCCTCGTATATAATGAGAAAAAATAATAATTATAAAATAGTATTCCTGTACCTATACATGTTTTTTATACACATAACATTGATTACTCATTAAAGATTTAAAATTTGCTAAAACTACTCATTTATTTCAACACAATCTTTCTCCTACCTTTACACGAAAAATCTACGGCACTGGTAAACCGGCACGCGATCTGAAAAAGAAGAAAATACCTGATAATTTACTCTAGTCAAAAAACTTCTATAAAAAAGTCATCAAAAAGTAAAAATATTTAGTTATTATATAAAGATTATAGAGTATTATTTTCTCTAGTCGATATTTCTTATTCTTACGAATCTTTTGAGAATGAAAATTCATTTTAGACATCAGAAATGTTTGTTTTTAGCTACGAAAACTGCTAAAATGTATCTATATGTACTGTTGGGTTTTTAGATAGAAACTTACTTAAACGCAAATTAAGTTTTTAAAATTCACATACTAATACCTATCTATACTTTTCCCGAAATAAATCGTACTTTAAAGTTAGTTATAATAGTTTAATCATCGATTCTCTACATCATTTAAACTAGTCACAACAAATCTACCTAGGTATGTAGGTACCTATAAAGAAATATGACACATCCCACGATATTATCTACTTAAAATTCTTTCACCTCATATTAAATTGCATAAATATACTAACCATTTATTATTTTCATCAAGATATTTCACTAACACTCATTATCAATCACTTCTTGTACTACATCTTTAAAATTTCAAACAAACACAAAATGGACGCTTCGACGGAGTTTACGATTGGTCGAAATTTGTAACGTGACATCATGCCATCTGAGATAGAAACACGGAAGCTTCGTTCGGAAATGTCTACATGATTTTAGCAACGTTGCCGTATTGAGTAAAATTTATAATTTCTACTGATTTTTGGAGATTCTGATAATTAAGTTTACTTATAAGTGGATTATTAAAATGTGAGTGCAGAAATTACTATAAAAATTTCTAGAGGTCTTCATATCGATTAAAAAGAGGTTAAATGTGCATAAATTACACAGGTTTACAAAAAATAAGTCCGGACTATATTTGAATAGGGTATTTTGGCATCCTGAATCCAATCCCGGGGTCAGTTTTACCCCATCACGTCAGAAAAATCAGATTTCAAGGTCATTTAAAGGTCAAATTGGTAATTTTTTAGAACTGGCTCCGGGGCAATTTTTCAAGCGATCTGTTAAGTTGAGGGGTAACTAAATACCTTCCAAACATTGGAAACGGTTCCCAAATTTCGATCAGGACCAGCGGAGGGCCAGTCATGTGAATTAGGGAGAAATTTATTATTATTTACTTTTGGAAGTAATAAATGAATTCTTGAAATATATTATGCTTACATGAGACTCTCTTTAAAGACTCAAATGTTCACAAACTAAAAAACTACACAGTGCTTTATTTTTAGATATAAAAGGTGCTTTGACAATGTAAATTAAATATTTCTTCTGAAAAATTATGTAAATTAGGAATCCCCATAACTATTTCAAATCATATACAGGGTAGCTGTTAAAGATGGAACCAAACTTATAGTGCTTAAACAGTTCAATATACAAAATCCAGAATTTCAATTAAATATATTTGCGCAAATTTTAGCCCAAAAATAATTTTTTTTATAATTACAAAATTTTAAGCATGGCCGCCATCTTGATTTTTTTAAATAGCAACATACGTCATGTGATATACCATTTGAAAGGGTTTAACACCCTGATTACAAAAATGTATGTATTTGACGTCTTGTGTCAAATGCACAGCCTCCTACGCTCCCTATTAATAATATCCATTTTGTTGTGTTTAGACCCCATGTGTGATACATTTTTGTAATCAGGGTGTTAAACCCTTTTAAATGGTATATCACATGACCTATGTTGCTATTTAAAAAAATCAAGATGGCGGTCATGCTTAAAATTGTGTAATTATAAAAAAAATAATTTTTGGGCTAAAATATGCGCAATAATATATAGTTGAAATTCTGAAATTTTGGGTTTTGTATGTTGAACCGTTTAAGCACTATAGGTTTGGTTCCATCTTTAACAGCTACCCTGTATATAATTTGTATAACAATAGGAAATTATTTTTAAAATTAAACAGTGAACTATCATGTCCACTAAAATCGGGCCTTGGAATCCTTCAAGGAAGTATTTTAAGCCCGTTACTTTATAATATTTACATGTTTGATACAGAAAATTGTATTCCAAGATCTACAAATATTCTTCAATAGTTAGAGATATCTATCATCTACATCTAAACCAGAAGATATTGTTGAAGACTTGCAAAATCAAAGATTAAAATGTAAAGAAGCTGTCAATATAAAAAAGAAGGAAATAGAATTAACCTAAGATAACACTCGTAAACTATCCTTCAAAAATATTGAAGATATCAAGAAAATCTACGAAAACAAAGCACTTAATCTAAGAGTTAGAAGAGAAATTATAAGAAAGTCAAAACTAGTTTTATAATGCAAAAATTGCCAGTTATTTTGATATACACACAATTTTTGCAAAAGAGATTCAAGATACGTAAAGTGCGTAAGAAAAGATCATACAAAGGATTGTGTAAAAAGTTCAGAAGAACAACCGATGTGTATAAATTGCTTAATGTAACATTCTGTTAACTACAGAGGATACCACTAAACCTAAAATAATGACGAGACAGAAGAGACCCATAAACCCAATTCAAAGGGCACAACCAGCCATGAATCCCATGCTACAAATTACACAGTCAGCCAGCCCAGTAGAAAGTACAACTCATGAATTATTATTATTATTATTATTATTATCCTTAAAAACCAGAATAGCTTCACTCTTTGGCAAGTTCCAGAAGCTAGAATAATTGAATAAACCCTAAATATATAACAAAACCACCAATGAACAAAAGAGATATTAAAACAGACACTTGGAATGCCAATGGTTTTCTCCAAAAACAAACTGACATTCAAGTGTTCTTGCACATACAAAAAATAGATATACAGTGCTTTTCAGATAAAAGTATCCACCTTAAGTAACTTTTGAAGGACTGATTATTACAAATTCGTCAATTAATATTCGAAGAGGGAGATATCGTGCCATATTTAAGTTTGCCAAAAAAGTCACCCTTTCACCCCTACTATCATCCCTTCAATTTTTTTAAATGGCTTGCCCCATTTTTTTTATCCATTTTTAGATTGCTCTCGTTTAACTGATTTCAAAAATGTATAAAACATGGGGATTAAAGTAATTAGTTTACGATCTACAGAATTTTAAATTAAAATAAAATTGAATTGTGCAAAACTTTTATTTTAATGATTTTGTCACAAGCGTTTCCAATGACAAAACGAATATTTCATTTTCAAAATTTATTATAAAAATTGTTCAAAATGTCCACCATTTACTTCCATACAATGGTATAACCTAGATTGAAAAGCCTCCCTGACATTACCGAACACGTGTGCATTTAAATGTAGGCATTCATACTCTATTCTTTGTCGTAAATCTTCTAAAAATTCTGGTTGGGTAGCATAAATTTTTGTTTTTAAATAACCCCATAAAAAGAAGTCTAGAGGTGATCTAGGTGGCCACTCCATCATCGAGCCTCTTCTACCTATCCAACGATTGGGGAAAGTTTTATTTAAAAATTGTCGTACTGGCAAAGCAAAATGTGGAGGCGCTCCATCCTGTTGAAAGACAAGCAAATCTTCAGAAAGATTATGATCAATTTTTATTATTGTTGTAATACGTGGATCAATTACTTCTCTCAATAACTCAAGTTATGACTCTCCATTTAAGTTTCCGTCTAAAAAGAAAGGTCCGACTATGTGGTCACCTAGGATACCACACCATACATTTAACTTTTGAGGATTCTGTGTGTGGTATTCACGCACAACATGTGGATCACTCTCAGCCCAATATCTGCAATTATGTCTATTAACTAAACCATTAACTGAAAATGTGCATTCATCCGAAAAACAAAGGTTGTGCAACAAATGTGGATTGTCAGTCAAGCGCTGACTCAATAGTTCACAAAATTCAAGACGACGATCAAAATCATCTTCATACAACTCTTGAACCAATTTAATTTTATATGGATGGTACTTATGCTTGTGTAATATTCGATAAACTGTGGAAGATGAAACACCTACTTCTCTGCTTATTGTTATATATATATAGTAACTATCAGGGTTCCAAAACTAATGATTTTCAAATAAAAATGAAAACCCATGATATTTATTTAAAAAAATCAATAAAACCCAAAAAATCGTGTTTTTTTCTGATAACAAATCCACGAGAAAGAAAAAACAAAATGTTTTGGAAGTCTTTCTATATATATATATATATATATATATATATATATATAAAGCACGTAGAGCGCATTCTCAAAATCCTTACAAGCAGGTCACGAACTCAACTGCTATTCATTTAAACTAATATTTCTTACATTTTTTCTAAATGTTCTTTCAGTGGTGCGTATTCAACCACTTGTGCCTTCACCCTATTTATATTTTTTATTCATTGTATTCTATACTATTATTAATTTTAGTTTGGTTGCAGATATCATTATCTTCAATTCTAACTTCAATATGCAATCGTTTTTGAAAAACATTCCAAAAGTCATTAAATTTATTCCTGATCATAGACCCAAATCAGTCGAAACAATCATAGCGAATAAGAGTAGAGTACTTTATTTTCCAGTTAACTTTCCACAGCTATTTCCAGTGGAAAAATCAATATATTTATTGCACATTGTTTGGCCGCATCGATGGGAATTCGACAAAGGTCCTGATGATTTTTTTGATGTTATATTCAGACTTAAAGAAGAAAAACTGCCTTTTAGATTGTCTATATTAGGAGAAACGTACGAAGATATACCAGATGTATTCCAGAAAGCCAAAAATGAATTGACTGATGAAATAATACACTTTGGTTTTGTTGAAGATAAAGAAAAATATTTTAAAATTCTGTCATCCAGTCATATAGCAGTGTCAACTGCTAAGCACGAATTTTTCGGTGTTTCAATGTAAGTAATATCTCTTCCTGTTCAAACTTTTCTAATTTGAATGTTTTTTTTTTAGGTTAGAGGCAGCTTATTGCGGTTGCTTTCCTTTGGTCCCTAACGGTTTAGTTTATCCAGAAATATTTCCTAAAATATGTCTTTATACCGATAAGGAACATTTATTCAAGCTGTTGAAACAATTTTGTCTTGATCCAAATCTTTTACAGAACTGCGATATGAAGTTTGATGACTACTGTGATAAGAAACTTGTTCCTGAATATTTAAAAATATTGGAAATTTAATGTGGACCGACCAAAAAAATTGTTGTCGGGATAACATTTTCTCTTTTGCCAAATTTTGTTCAAGCTTCACTGCGCCGTAGTCTTCCTTTGGCCATTGAGACCCGACTCATGATCAAGACTTTACTGGAATTTTCTCTGTATGTGGTCCGACGCGTGGAGAAAGATTTCGAGATTATTCTACAAAGGATTGGCTCTTTCTAGACTGTTACAATTCTATATATAAGTGAGTTATTTCGCCGTTTGTTGAGTTTCAATATAAGTGTTGTTAAGTAAAGATAAATTGTAAAAATAAATTAGAAGTGTGAATAAATTATAAATAAATAAACTATTTTTAAATTAAACAATCCTAACATTGGTGTGAAAAATGAAATTATAAATAAATGGTGGACCAAAGTGGCTAAAAAACTGTATGATTTGAAAGTGATGGAGTTACATCGGGAATTAGAAGATCGTGAGTTGGAGAAGAAAGCAGAGATGGCGAAGCGGCTTAAAAAATCACTAGAAAGTGATGGCTTGGATCCGGAATTTATCTATTTTGGGATGATCATCTGCTATAATTTTTTTCGATATGGCAGGTAGTAATATCTTCCATAAAAATCGAAATGTCTTATATGAAAACCGGTAGTACTGCTGTATCTTCTATAAAAAATGATGTTTCCTCCTTAGAAACTAAAGTTTCTTCGGAATTTTATTTCTTAGAAAGTAAAGTTTCGTCTGACCTTTCTTCTTTAGAAGACAAGGTGATCAGAAGACACCTTGTCTTCTAAAGAAGAAACTAAAATTTCTTCTGATATCTCTTCTTTAAAAGATGAAATTTCTTTCGACTTGGAAAACAAAATATCTTCTATAAGAAATGAAATTTCTTCTTTTGAGAAGAAAATAATGTCATCCATTGAGGAGAAAATAAAAGAGATAGAGAAGAAGATAGAAGAACTGGGACATACAGAACAGGCCAAAGACGATGAAATAAAGTGCCATGAGGTGAATGTTACATGAAATTAATTATAAATTAACCCCTCGTAAATGACCAAAATTAAACGAAGACGCTTCGTCTCTGGATTAAAAAAGTATAGCTTGCGCGCCTGTCCCTCATTTTCTTCCACATTCACGCTGGTGAACTATAAAACCGGCAGCTGTCGCCTGGATCGTACTTTTGGCTTATCGAACTACGTGGTAGTGTTGTGCCGACAAATAATCTACTAGTTTGTGGTTATTAGGAGTAGATTTCCGTAATTATCTTGTCTTTTATATGTGCTTATTATTTGCTTATTATTTAATGCAGGATATTTAATGGAAGAGATCTGATAACATAGGAGGAACAGAGGATAGATAACAAGAAACAGTCAAACATATTATAACATTCATTAATATAATAAAACAAACAATAAATGAGATGTTTAAAAGTTTATTTCGTATAAATTTTCTATAAATCTATTATATAGATAAATACTAGGAACATTTATTATATTTAAATGTTTATATTTTGGTTTTCAACAGTCTATATTTTAGGTAAATTAAAAATTGAAATCGTTTCCTAATACTTCTCTGGGTTTTGTTCTTCTGAGAAGATACAGTACGATAAGATTGAGATGGCAAGTCAGAATTAGATGCGCACTGGCAAATATAAAAATGAGAGGAGTTATTTTAGAGAATGGCTATATTTCAGTGATCTAATTGCGTCAAATGTATCTATTTTGAAACTAATGCTGACTTGCTATCTCAATCTTGTATGTCAATCACATACTTTGATTACTATACGGGGCAAGAGAGAGGTCCGACACGCCCAACATAGGGCGCGGCCATTTTGAACCCTATGACACAGTTTATAGCTAAAGAATCAGATCGCTCACTCTGCGTCGGCACTTTTTATCTCAATGTTCCAGGTTATACACTGCGCAACTATGATATAATACAATATATGATAACCGCCTATAATAAAACAGCAGTCTTCTGCGTATCCTGAATTTGTATGCCTGGAGTGGATGTTATTTTGGAACTTTCAACTGGTCCGAGTGAGCTAACTGATTCTTTAGCAATAAACTGTGACTCCAAAAATAATATTCACTGACACTGACAGCAGCAAGCAAAATATCAGGTGCGTTTTATTCATCCGCTTCTGCTTCCGAAATTGTCGGTTCAGTCGTTCTAACCTGTCAGTTTAAAACAAGAAAACCGACAATTCCGAAGCAGAAGCGGATGATTAAAACGCACCTATTAAAACTATTGCGCCAAGATGTAGGCAACACGTAATAAGGGTTCAAAATGGCGGAGTTTTCTATCTCCTTTTAAAAGGCACTCAGAAAGCTGCGCAGTGCGACCATTTTCCGTATAGTAAAACAAAATCAAAGTATGTGATGTCAATCTTTACCATTGATAAGGCAACGTAAGGATACGTCATATGTATTATTTTTGATATACAAAAGTGGAACCGGTAGGCGTGGCTTTTGCACTCACTAAAATGGCGGAAGAGCAGAACCGGATTTACAAGTTTTTATTGTACTATTTTTGGTTAAATATTATTTGAACTATAAAAAAATAAATTTCCTTTTTATTGACATTGACTTAAAAGGTAGTGAAAGGCCGAGGTTATAAAAGAAGGGGGTTTAAAAGCTTAAATATGCCCGGTTTTCAGCCGAAAAGTGCTGAATAAAGTAAATGAAAGAAATAAAATATAACTGATTTAATTATCACTCAAGTGGCTATTAAGCGCTGGAGAATATATTATTTGCAAAATTGCAACTAATCAATGATCATGATATAACTAACTTGGGGCCGATTCCACCATTGGGTTTAACGAAGTTTAAAATGACATTTTTACATAAAATGTTTTTTTAATCCTCAATTAATAGTTTAAACTTTAACACACTGGTGAAATCATTCACAGAAAAAATAAATAGTACATTTTTGGTTCACATAAGCGACAAAAGTAAACAGAGTTCGAGTTATTGGATCAGTCGTCACACGTTTGCACTAGGGCACATAAATAGCCCAATATTTAGTTTTTTGTTTTTCTATGAACCCAATGCTTCTGTTCTTTAAATCGGAAAGTACAAGGTCGCAAATTTTAAGTAATTTAACCTTACTTTAATTAACAGCTTTCTCGAAATTAAGAACAAATGTTCATACACTAAAAGCTCGATGATCAGATACGAAACGTAATGCAAGGCTCGCGGAAAATGGCTAATAAGCAATCTCTGTGTAGGTAGGTGCACTATTCAGGAAATCAAAATGTGGATTAATCTTACTTGGTCTTGGTACTTTTGTAGATTCAGACTGAAAGGTGTATATCTTCATGCAAGACATTCAGTAAATCAGCGAAGCCATGCTTATATTGATAGCACTCGTGGTATTATTACTAAATAAACAGGTCAATAACATTTTAATATCAACAAAATTAAATATAATTATGAATTTATAATGTTTAAATGTTAAAGTGTTTTAAAAACTATTTTTTAACTGACTTTATTAGTGTTCAAATTCGTACTACAGAAAATACTTTTTTATTTTTGAATGGAGGTATATTATTTATGTATGGGCCAGAGCCCATTAAAACAATAAAATAATACATATTACAGTTATTAAATAATAATAAAATTTTAAATAATAATAGGTAAATTAATTAAAAATATGTACTTATTAATTATTAATAATAATAATTAATGAAAAGTGTTAAGTCGATTAGCAGATATTATTCTAGGAATAAAAGAATGAGAAGCATCATCTTAATGCATTGTTCGATATTAATTTATTCTTGAGGACTTTCCAATACAGCACAAACACATTTCGAAAATATTTCAAAACATATTACATTGAAACATTTCTGAAATGTGCCTTAAACGAAAAAATATCCTGTAAATATAATATATCACAGTAATATTTCTGAAATAAAAATTAGAAATCTTTTAGAGATATTAAATAGTAATATTTCAGAAATTGTAGCTTTTTTTTAAATATTAGACTAAAAAAAGACATATAAATATATACATGTCTATTTAAAATACACAAAATTCAAACATTGATTCTTAAAACAAACAAATAAATAATTTTTAAACATGATTTCATAAAATATAAAGGCGAATCACTTCATTTCCAAGTCCTTTAAATGCACTAATTTGAAACAGTTTTTTTTTAAATGCCCCAAGTAAAGAAACATTTACGATTATTACAACCTAATCATTAAGATCAATTAGAAATTTTATTCTAACTTATCAAGAGATGAAATAATTCACAAACCGATATTCTACTCTCTAATATATCTTAGAGTCTAAATCACTTAACTGCACTATACTCTGCTTTAACATCACTGAACTAACTCAAAAGGCTTGATTCTCTTGAGTCTTCTTATTAGATTGGCATTGTTGAGGAGCTGGATAATCTCGAGATTTCCATGTTGGAGCAGTCGTTGGTGACTACTGGCAAATGTTTGTATTGTATTTGCAACAGTCTCCACTTTAAGGTTCCTATGAAGATCAGTATTGTAGCAGTACCATGTTCCTTAATACTTTATTCTGGAAACGTTGAATAACTTCGATGTCACTTTTACTGGCACATCCCAAAAGCTGGCGAATCGCTTCATTTTCACCAATTCCTTTAAACACACTAATCTGAAACAAATTATAGGTAAGTAAAAAGGTATATTAATATTGTTTTAAATTAACTATAATAAAACAAACAATACTCAAGCATACACAAAACATGAAGCTCTACTTTTCAATCAGCTGTAGAACTAATAAATAAAATTGGTGGAAGGACCGCAAATGTAAGTTATATTTAAATAGAAATAAGAATATAAAATGCCTATAAATCTGATAAACGAAATAGCGTACGATTAATGTACTTCTCAAGAAAATGCTTGGAACATATACAATTGAATTTAGAAGGTTCCCAATTATGCTTCTTGACAAACTGTATTCACGCGCTACGTTTTTCAGGATTTTTTGGAAATCTATAAATATTATTTCGTATGAAAAAGTATTTATTCCAATATAGGTGGGCCCAAAAGTTGATAGATGATTTTTTTTGCATTTTTAAAAGCATACTTTTACACGTTTTATACAAACCTGTCATAATACTGTCCTGTATAATATTTATAATTTTGATACTAACCTACGAAACGTTATTCCAGTCGATTTTTCACAAAAACGTCTATCGCTGGAGCAGGAACGTATAACACAGCAAGGCATTATATACTTTATAAGTTTTTAACACTCAAAATTTGCTCAAACACAAATTAAATTCAAATTTAATTACACAAATGACACTAAAAATATAACCTATAAAATTTGACAATTTGCACTCACAGTAATGGCGGACCGGTCCCACTTTTTGTTTACGCATGTCGTATCCCTAGGTTGCCAGATCAATGATCTTTACCCAATAAATCCAAATAGCACAGTTTCCTGTCAACGAATTATTTGACAGATGTCACACAGATACAGAGACCCTCAAAGCGACATTGTCAAACTTTATAATAATTCATTACCAATTTAAAATTTCGTTTTTAAATTATTTCTGTTAACATTAACGTTAAGAGAAATATTTAGTCTTCTATACCCATCATACGAGTTAGATCTAGCATAACGCATCAAACTGTGAATTTACTAGAAGTAAAAACTCACAAAAGTATACCTGCATCATAGATAAAGTTAGATACTTAACACAAAGTGTAATAATAAGTGAATATGTATCAATTTCTAAATTTTGGATTGGCTATAGCTTTGAATATTGAATTTTGTTTTAGAATATACAAAAACTGTTTCGCTAGAATGGAAGAGGAAGCAGTTTAGTAGTGACAGCAGTTTTCTAAATTGTCTTCTGTCTACTCGAACATTTAAAATTTCAATCCTTTATCATGTGGTACATTAATTTAAAGGTCTTCGAAATGTCTTAATATCGCTAGAGTGGCATTAGTGGTATGACGTGTTACCCCATCTTGCTGAAACCACTGTTTTCGATAAGGAAGGAAACTGCGTACAACAGTTACTCGTGCATCATGAAGATGTGAATCTAGAATTTTTTGTGGTTTTTCGAAACCAAAAAATCTGTTAGGATTGTCCGATGACCGGTCAGTAAATCATACGTTTGCTTGAATCTTATTCGTAAACGCACCGATATTTAAAAAAATGAGTATAAAGTTTCTCTATTTAGGTTAATTTTAACAGCAGTCGTTTTCAGGCTCCTCTTTATTGCGCCTGTTTCATTATTCCATTATCTTTCGTCCAGATCATCCTTTTCTTTCGACTAAAACACTGCCTGAAACTTCTTCTCTATATAGTTATGCCTTATTGTTGTATTTGTAACATCTCTTCCATATTGCTCTAAAAACCTAACCCTAACGTAATTGATACTTGGCCCATTGTTTCTGCTGATTATATTGGTTGCAAATAAAAAAATTTGCTCGATTATACCAATCCATCTTGTTTTACAAATTTATTGCAAGCCTTTAAAGACAAAACTCATCTAGAAGTTAGCATGATATTTGTGTAGTGTTTTCCATGAAAATTGCTCTTTTAAATTTATTAAGGAATCATATTTATGGACATATTATATGGACTGTTTATTAATCATAATTAGTTGAATGTTGGCATAATAGAAGCATTTGAAGAGAAGGGTAAGTAATTCTTTCTAAAAACGTTTTTTAAAAGTTTATAATTTCACATGAATCACACTCTTTTCCTTTTAATATCAATTCTTCCGACATATTTGCTTAGTAAACTGTGGCATTGTATCTATTGAGTAGGTATCTAACTTTACTATCGACCTGCATACGTCTTACATAAGAATCTCCACGCCATTTTCAATTTTCATACGACCCTAATCAATAATTTCACAAAAAATATCTCGCAATTTACAAAATGGCAATACCAAAAACTTATTCTAAACTTGAACATTAATTTTGTACATTCGCGTTGACTAGACCGGCGTCCAATCCGGTCTACAGGACTTGTATCACACGCCCTTCGGTTGGGTGATGGTTGTCGTCGCTGTGGGTTGAGGATTTTTGACGGCTCCTCTCAACGGATTGGCGCTGCGCAGTCTCAACGTTCGCAGTAACGTGTTCCGAAAGTCTTCGGAAAACGAACAGTAAATGTAGAATGTTATGGAGTAGTTGGTTATTTCTAAAAGATTGGCGATCGCTCGGAATACCTAAAAAAAATATTTCATTGATTCAATCAGGTAAAATTAAACGTTAAATCTAGTAAAGACCACTTTGAGATATTTCGTTCGGACAACCCTCGAATACCATACATTCGATACCTCAAGAACTACTTTAGTGAATGTCTGGAGATCTTGCTTTCATGGTGTTACCATCTTAAGGTGACTACTATTTCCTTCTAGCCCCAATCTAGCCCTTCATCAATATACTGAGTCTAGCTACAACGCCTTAGATATATCACCACTTTCCTTTGGCATCCATTTTGCTTGTAATTCCTAATAAGTCAAGGCTGGATGCATCCGTGAAAATAGTGATTTTGTGGTTAAAATTTTATTTTAATGTCTATGATGGTGGGTGAGGTTTTCCGGGTTTTCCTCACCTGTAAGTCAAATGGCACCATCAATCATCCTTAAGTCGCCCCGGAGCGCCACGGCAAATAATAATAATAGCCGTCCCTTCCCCTACACAAGTCGTTCAGTCGACTTCAGGGGTTGAAATTCACTCGTAAGGGGGTGAATTAGGGAGAGTATTATTATTATTTATCCAACACCATTTAAAATATAAATAATTATTGAATTGAATTTGTTCCAATCCAACAGAATACCGTACATCTTACTGTCATCGTCATCCTAAAATTGACGTTTCATTGTACCGTCGGTTAGCGTTCCAACCAAACATGAGACCGACCGTTCAGGAATCGGTTTTTGTACGGTCCTCTCGATACCAAACTAAAAGTTAGTATCGCTTGGATTGACATGCGCATTGCGTACACTAAAACGAACAAGGTCCGTCTTTTTTGTTTGGATTTGACGTTTATTACTTATAGTGGTGTTTAGGTTTTTAAATTAAATTGTTTTTCAGATTTTCTGCTTAATTATGTTTGTTCTTGGATAGTACCCAATTTAATGAGCGATGAAGAAGGTAATGATTTTCTCTCACACTTATCGTCTAGTGAAGACGATTTAGAACTTGCTCTAAATGAACATAGAGTTAAAAATGATAAAATTATTTAGGTAATTCCTATTTCGCGCCAATTGAAATTGTCAAACAACATCGTTCGATATTGAAAGTGGTACATCAATTCGTTCCATCCCAGTAGAGTGTGATCCCATTCACAAGACAGTGCCAGGTTAGCGTTTGCGCATAACAAGCTAGTTGAACGATCCCGTGTACCGTTTCGAAATGGTTGGAACAAACCTATTGAATATTATTGGAAATTCAAAGCCAAACTCTGAATATAATGGGATGAATTTTAGAAAATAAAGATTTTGACATCTAACCTACTTACTTGATAAGGATAATTCACCAAATTCGCATCCGAAAGGGTCACGTTCAGTAGCACCATCGGCGTCACGCATACCAAAAACAAAATGCTAGTCGACCCCAACAGCAACACCAGCCTTCTTTCTTCGGCGAATTTCTTTGGATCCTCTTCGCCGGAACACTTCCGGCTCAACGTCATCTTTCTTCGTCTATCGCACGATCGCCTGTACACTATTAGTATTCTCAGGTTCAAAGCGGCGAGTAAAATGATCGGCAGCACTTTGTAGATAAGTTCTAAAAACACTTTATATACACTATATAGAGGACTCATTAGGTATTCGGTGTCTTCCACTCTTTGGTACAAAATGGTTCCTTCGGGCAATAATTGACACGTTCTGACCCTGTTGCGGAATAGATTTGGAATGTATAAGATGAGGGTTAGTAACGGAATTACGGTGACCACTCGAGGGGGCGATCCGAGGATTGGTCTGGCGTGTCCTGGATGACATACGCTGACGTATCTTTCCAGAGTTAGCGCTAGGAGCATCAAGACTCCGACACCTAGACAGCCGTTACCTAGAAACAGTTCTAAATGAGCGAAGTAGTAGGCCGAGAGAGGTTGTTCCCAATGGCCTTGTTCGCGGTGGACCAGGACCCTCCACGCGAATGGCAGGGCGAAGCATATTGCTAGGAGGGCTGCTCCAGAATAACCTGTAAAGAAGCTTTTGTTAATAAATGTTTCTTTTTTCCTGTAACAATGTTTTTTTTTAAATTATAGCTAGTAGATGTGGTAGTTAAATTTGTAGGTAAAGAAATATTGGGCACCTATACTACGTCCAACTTATAGACAAGTTATGTGTTGGACACATCAGATTTTTTAATTTGTACCAATAATTATAACCGGATATGATTAAGTACGGTAGTTTTTGGTTATATTTGATCAAAAAGTGGTTGTCGTACAGGAATTAATGGTATTAAAAACAAAATTCAATTCAATTGCAAAATACAGGTATATAATCGTCAAACAACAATTTTCGGAAAATCAAAAATTCCTGGCATCTTGTATCGCTATTTTTGTACTGCATTAGGTCGTGTGTCATTATTTTTTCATTACCTGCTTACTTTAGAAATGTCGTATAATTTTTTTTTCCCGAAATCACCCCCCTAAGGTTGTAGGTTCAGCTTTTATGTGTATACTCACCTGCAATAACAAGAATTGACGACATAATTCCTAAAGTTGTTGTTACATATGGTATGAGTAATTTATGCTGGGCCTAATGACCCCTTAAAAATTCTCAATGGGCTGGTACCCTAGAATTGTCAAGAAATAAATAAATACTAAAAAATACTGCCGCCCCGCCCAGTGTGACCGTCACTGCTCTCTACAGGGATTTCATTTCAAAACTAGCCACCCAAAATAACTTTTAAAATATCTTTAAAACAAAAAAAACACGTTAATTTATATTTACGGGGGGATACATTTTACAAGTATCTGTAACCGTGCAGTTTCATCCCCTAAGCGGTGGTGAATATCACTTCTAAAATTTTAAATAGAAAGGGGTATCATGTGATAGCTCTTTTTAAAGGTCTCTTTTTTTACAATCTTTTGACACATTATTTTTTAAATCGGATTAATTTTTCACCAAGTTATAACCTAGAAACCGGAAAAAATTAAAAATATTGAATTAAAATGCATGAGTATAAATACCGAGATAAACAAGTTAGCAAAAAGCCTTAAATGTTTTTTGCGTAAGATATTTTTGACCGTAAATTAAAACAATTTATTATTAGTAGATTATTGGTTTCGTTGTGTACTGACAATTTAATTTTGACAATTATTTATTCTTTACAAGAAAGAATTGAAATAATCTTTATTTATGGTGAAGAACAACCACATCCCCAACTAGCCATTCATAAAAGTGTATTTGTTGTGAAGTTCTCATCATCATCTATTGTATAGTCCAGGAGACAGTGACGATTTTCGGTATTTATTTTCCCAGTCAGCAAGCACGAATAGAGAATTGTAGGATTAGCAATTCTAAGCAAAATTCATATATATTTAGAGGGGGGATCCGATGGGCTGAGGCCGAAAATGCGTCAAAACATACGAGAACACGGCCCTTTTTTTCCATTGATAAAAATAGTTTTAGTAGTAAGAGATGTACTGAAGTTAAGTAAAAAAATAGTCTGATTAATCTGTATGGATAATATATTTGGCAAGTGCATAAAATACACTTTCAAACGAGTTAGGTACACAATTATTTCTACGACCACAATTATTTAAAGAATGTTCCAGGTGTTTTGTATATTAAAGTGTACGCATACGACACATAAATAAAATCTTATATCACAATGTTTCACCTAACCAGTTGGTTTATTTATAGAAATTAAACATAATAATTGAAGATATTACAAAAGAAAATAGGGAAATAAATTACATTTCCTTTTACACTTTTATATAATAATTGTTTTATTTAGAATTCACGAATCACTTATTACTCTACATTAATTATAATTATTGTTAGTTTCGTTATGTCAAATCATTTATACTAGAGGTGTGAGGAAAATACAGTGAACTGTGGAACGCCAATATCGTTGGATGCGCGTGGTAGAAATGGTCCTATAATACTGCTAAAAACATAGCTAAATTTTCATGGAAACACTGTACTTTTGACATTTGCGATACTCCGACGCACATGCATTATTGATGTAATCTCATGATTTTACAGTAATAGTTTTTGCAATTTTAGTGTGATTTTTAGGTTATTATGGTTATTCATTTTATTTGGTTCTGATCTTTTGCGCTTTTAGAGTATTTGTCTTTTATATAGTTTTTAATTTGAATTTTAATATTGTGGTCTATTTATATATGATTGCTGCTTTTCGACTAGTGCTTTATTCTTTTTGTGTTAAAATAAGCTTTATAACCATTAAGTACATGCTTCTAGTTGATATCTACCTAATCGTCATCGGGTGCTTGCAACAATGGGAAAAAGTGTATGGTTTTTTTGGTGTAAAGTTAGACGCCTTCATTTTTCAGATAAGTTATTTGTAGTTATTTTTTACTTAAAAGGATAGCAATACGTCCTGGTTCGGGGTGTGACTTTTGGGTTTTAGCTATCTGAGCCAAATTGTCGGCTAAGTGTCCTCTTTTAGGGCACCCAGAACCGAAAACTATATAGGTATATAATATGTTTTTTTTTAAATTATTTTTTAATATGTATGCAGCTTGGATGAGGGCTTTAGGAAGAGATCCTAAGACTGAACACTGACTGCTATAAATGCCGTTTTTAGAGCACATTTCATAGTAAGTGATTTCATTCTAGCAGCAATGAGGAAACGTTTAAAAAACATGCTGTACCAGCTATTACTTTAAGACCTCGTCTCTTTAAGTTATTATTACTTCATTCTAATGCATATATTAAAATGGTTTTTAACTTATGTCCTTATGATTAAAAGATGTAGGTATTTTAGTTATGTTATAATAGAAATATATGATACTTTGTATTGACTGGTCATTCCACTTTTACTCCTTTTTTTCATAAATTATCAAATTATTTAAAAACAAATACATACCTAGCTATTTTCTGTAAATTACATTAAAATTTTAGTATTAATACTTTACTAATAAAACTTAGGTTAATTTATCTTATATATATACATAACGGAAGAGTTAATTGGATTTTCTCCTTGTTGAGTTTCAAAAATAGTAATTTAACATGATCTAAAAACAAATACATGAAATGGGCAAAATAGGCCTGCAAAGGCACTTTGTAAACAATCTCACTTGTATCGATGTGACGTAATGCGCGAATTCAATCTGGCTTACTTTTGTTAATAGATTGGCGTTCCATTTTAAATATACAGTTCACCGGGAATAGATTATTTAAATATACACGGACCGGGAAAACAAGTACGAAAAAATTCACTGGCTCTTGGACTAGTACTGTATCGAAGGAATTTTTATGAATGAAACAATATACGACCCTCCACAATTGCGGTCTACTCTACTTCCGCTGTTGTCAGACATTATTTTTTTTTTTGGACAATTTAAAGACCTAACAGTAATTCAAGCAAACGCAATAACATTACTACAGTTAAAAACATCGCAAACTTGGCATCAATATTTTAATTTTATCCAAATATTGCATTTCTGTCGAGGATCATCCGCGTTGACTTCAAAAATTGTGTAATCTGTATTGGTTATATATATATATCTATAGTTAAAAGCACGTAATCTTGGCATCAATGTTCAATCCGATTGTTGAGTTTCTACCGCGGACACCACCGTTCATTCTTCAAAATTTTTGTAAATAATTCTATCTGTCTTGGTTATATATCTATGAGAACAACGCTGTGCACGCAGAACTGCTCGTGTTTTTAATCAGAGACATCCCGATAAAAATGTTGGGCATCAGTATGTGTTGGATTTAGTTCATAAATTTCAAGAAACTGGAAGTGTGTGCAATAAAACTGTAAGGAATTGTAGAGTTTTAACTGAAGCTGCACAAGTTGAGATTTTAGGTCATTTTGCCATGGAACCTCAAACATCAATACCAAAAGTCTACAGATTAACAAATATTTCCGTTGGCTCTGTGCATAAAACGTTACTGCTAAATAAATTCTTTCCTTACAAAATACAGCTTTTACAACAGCTTGCTGAGGATGATTATGACAGAAGATTAAAATTTGGCGAATTAATGACTCAAAGGGCAAATGAAGACCATAATTTTATTAAAAATATTTGTTTTACTGACGAGGCAGGTTTCCTTTTAAATGGATTTGTCAATAAACAATTGTAGGTACTGGGACAATACAAATCCACATGTTTTTCGGGAAGAGCACAGCCAATATTCTCAGAAAATCAACGTATGGGCCGGAATTCTTGGTAATAAAATTATTGGTCCTATTTTCATGGAGGAAAATTTAACTGGGGAATTGTATTTGAACTTATTAGAAAATCTGATAAATCCTCTTATAACCGAATCCTTAGAAAACCAAATAGATCAAGACGGAAATTTGTTACTAGACGAAGAAATTTTTTCAACAGGACGGAGCACCTCCACATTATGCCTTGCCTGTACAAAATTGGCTTAATGAGATATTTCCAGATAAATGGATCGGAAGAAGGGGCGCTATAGAATGGCCAGCGAGATCACCCGACCTACGCCCCTTGACTTTTTTTTATGGGGACATCTAAAAACTCAACCTCGCGATATTCCTGAACTTAGACGTAGAATAGTGGAGGAGTGTGAGCGGATTACACCAGAGACGCTTCAAAAAGTACAGGATGAATTCGTGCTGCGACTTTACCATTGCCTTGCCAACAATGGCGGACATTTTGAACATCTTATTTAAGTACAATGTAATTCTTACGCAAATAAAATATTAATAATGTAAATACAATGTAAATAATAATTATTTTAATTTAAAAGGTTAAACTTGGTGAAAAATTAATCTGATTTAAAAAAATAATATGTCAAAAGATTGGAAAAAAGAGACCTTTAAGAAGAGCTATCACATGATACCCCTTTCTATTTAAAATTTTAGAAGTGATATTCACCACCGCTTAGGGGATGAAACTGCACGGTTACAGATACTTGTAAGATGTATCCCCCCGTAAATATAAATTAACGTGTTTTTTTGTTTTAAAGATATTTTAAAAGTTAGTTTGGGTGGCTAGTTTTGAAATGAAAACCCTGTATATTAAAATCACATTCATAGAATGTTTTCGAGAACAATAAAAATAAATCACATTTTAACGTTTTTATTTATTTTGAATAAAAAACTATAATATGATTAATAAAAATACAGATTCATTTGGTAAACATAGAGTAAAAAATATGAAGTGGACATTATTTCTGTAAAACAAATCACATACACGTACTAGATGATAAAATGTGTATAACGATTTATGATTATTACTTTAATTTAGTTTTTTAAAATATACCTTGGTCAGTTTTTTATGTAGCCAACATTTCAATTCTGTGGTTAGATGGCAAAGTAAAGAAAAAGTAAAGAACAAAATTGTATTGTAACATTTTTAAATTAAATTAGTCTAGTTGTAAAGTTTTTCTATAAAAATTTTAACAAAAAAAATAATAAAAAAATAATTAAAAAAAAAACATTTAAACAAAAATTTCATAGGTAATATTAAGAATTTATACAAAAATATAAACCACTGAAGAACGCCGTCCAATTTGGAGCGGAAAGCTTTGATACTACATACAACATTTTGAAATTTTAATTATAAATCTTACAAGAATTAACCAGTAAATAATGTCCACCCTGTAACCTAAATACAAACGTCCTAAATCTAATATGAACGCTTTTCGATATCCTTTTTCTGCGTTTTGGTAATAAATTGCCTCAGTGACTTCGACACCAGTTCTTTTGGTGGTATAGCGGTAAGATAATTCCTCCCAACATGCAACATCTTCAAATTTGGCAAAGTACCAAACATAGGATTCAAAGTTTTCAGATTGTTATTATCCAAATACAAGACTTCGAGATTCGGCAACTTCCTGAACGTATACTTGTAGATCGTATGAATTCCATTGTTGCTTAACATCAACGTTTGTAGAGTTATTGAAGATATGAGGGATACACGCTTTGGTATCATTATTTTGTTATCGGATACCAGCAGTTTCTTTAATTTCGGAGCCAGTCTGAACATCTTGGTCGGCAGTTTTCGAATTTTGTTACCTGATAGATCGATCAGCTCCAAATTGGGAAGAGATTTAACTATAAGTATTGGGAATCTCGTAATATTGATATGGTCTGCATACAAAGTGTCAGCGTTTGAAGCTTTGTTAAAAAAATTTGTGTAATTCGATAAACGGATTTTGTTATGCATGTTTTTCTTGAAGCCTGTTACGTCCACGCAGTTTATTTCACCAGGAGGTGCTATCCATTTGTGTACTTTTAAGTACGCTGTATTTCGTATACTACATGGTTGTCCAAATAAAAATGATGCATCAATGTTGTTTAACAAAACAACAAACCTGTTAAGAAAATAATATAGATTATTAAAAGTTTTTTATTAGAATTTTGAATAGGAATTTATGCTGACAAAATAGCTCTAAAACTGTAAAGTAACCTATTTATAGAGCCTAAAGGTTACAAAAATTTCAGCACAAGTGTCTTAAACAATAGGTAGACCCTAGAATACAAAGAGTATAAGTTACATTTTTTCTAATTTAAGTAAATCAATAATAAAGTTAGAAACATTATTTTTGTAAAGAATTGAAAGATGTAGTAGTTTTATAAGATTAAAATTGATTAATTCAAATGTATGTATGTATTTTATAAAAATGATTATGTAAAAACTTATAAGCTATCTTAAAACACAAGACTGATTTACAATGTAATCTGTTACTGAGCAAGACAACACCAGATATAAAAAGATCAAAGTGACACATAGACCTCTAGGTCTCTAAAGAATGAAATACATTTATTTGTTAGTTGGTGTAGAGGCTCCAGGCTAGGTTGCTGTACCTGTGAAGAAATCCACTTATATCTCTTTACCATTCAGATTATTGATATTTTAATCACCATATTCTGTATTTAACTGGATTTTTTCTAATATGTACACACATCGCACTGACGCACTGTTTAGTCTTATAGAAAGTACCCTGCCATACGCGGGCATGCGTCACACATCACTTCTATTTTGACTTATGTAATATCTATGTTAATAGTAAAATCGATTTGATTATTAAATTGTTTTTTATATGTAAATCAGGGTTGCCCAAAGTGGAGGTAATGTCCCAAGGGAGGCAATTTTATTATTTGGGAAGGCAATTAACAAAAGGTATGATAAATATATAACAAAAACACTTGAGATAGGAAATAATAGAATTGGAATCAAACATAAAATCTCTTTGTAACAAGCATTAGGAAGTAATCACTTTGAAATTGTTGAGAAAAGACAATAAATCAGTTTTCAAAGCATATAGGGTGATCCATTAGTGTGAAAAAGTCCAATATCTCCGCCAGTATTAGAGGTGTTTAATAACTTCTCTCAGGAACCATTTTATGTTCTTTTTAATGGATCACCCTGTATTTTATTTTATATTTTAATTACCCTCGCTTTTTCCATTCTAAAAATATAAATTATTATTGGATTATACAGGGTATTTTGCAGGATATAATCAGTTTTGTATGAAAATCGTATTGAATTCAATGACCTATATCATGCAAAAGAAACCATTGATAATCAATTTTTTTTCTGTCACAATTTTTCAATTATGATCAAATTTTATCCCGAGACACTACTTTTTTAAATTAGCATCAAATCTGTATAGTCAAAACACAAATACATAATTTTTTCAATTTTTTTAAATGGTTCACCCTGTATTTTATATAATCGTTCAAAAGTATTCTAATTATACTTTAATTTGACTTAAGCATTCCCTATACCAAAAGATTTTTAAATTTTAGTGGTATGCTTTGAAAACTGATTTATTGTGTTTTCTCAACAATTTCGAAGTGATTACTTCCTGAAACCCATCATAAGTTTCTTAAACGAATTATTTATTGAATATAAAAAATTATGCATATTAGACAGGGGGCATAAGAATTCCAAAAACAGATATATGTAAGACATGGCACAAAAAAGGTTAGGAAACACTGATCTAAATCCTAGATGTTTATTTTTAACGATTATTAATACACATATTTGATTAGATAATGTATCTCACAATAAGCCTTTATGGCTCAGATAGTTAAGTGTTTAACTTTCAACTTTAAATTTCGCGACCGTGGTCAAATTTTCACTAGAAGCAATCCTTTTTTTTAATGATGAAGAATGAAAAAAGTACGTATGATTGTTGTTTATTTGTTATAAATACATTTTTTTTTTTTTTTTTTTAGAAATTGTCAAAAAATTTGGACCTGCTTATATAAAACTGCTCTATCGTTACGGTTGCCACGCTTTTCACTTTCGGAAATGTGGCAACCCTAGGTAATAGGGATCTGCTAAACTATGAAGAGCATAACATAGAATTCTAAGAATTGTATATCTTCATTCTAGTAATTTATTACATCGTTGCAAATAACAATTTGAGAAACTAAATCTTACATTTACACCCTATCGAAACTGATGATCCCACGGGAAAACTTTTAGCACACAAAAAACGAGAAACGATTTAATTCTGAACGAAAAACTGAAAGGATTTGAAACATTGGCGTTTCTTAGCAAAAACCACGTACAGAGCATCTTCACGAGCTTTGGTTTTTAAGATTAATTCCATCTCGCCTTTAGATTAGGGTATACAAATTGTTTGATCAATTTATGTAAAAATATTTGGTCTCTTCTACCTGCTTGTGTAAAATATTTGGACTCCTTGCCTTTTAAGCCAGTTCATCTAAAAATAATCTTCTAATCATTAAGTATGTCCAATAAAAATTATTTGGTATCTTTACCTCATGTAAAAATATTTGACTTTGCCCATAAAAACAAATAATATTTGGGGCTTTTACTTTTTTGGTTCAAATATCAAATTTAGATAAAAAGTTACATTCTGATATTCCATAACAATCGTGTAAAAATTATCGTTACTTTGTCATGGGATCTAGGTATAAAAATCAGTGTTAACAATTTAATTATTTTACTATTAATACAGATATTTATTAATCAAAATAGAAACGATGCATTTAATACAGCTGATACAAAAAGTAGATTCTTATTCCCACTTACATGGATGGAAAATAGATTATTATTCGCAAATATAATATGTGATATTGATCATTAAATAGTGCAATATTATGTCACTTTCCTAAGTTGTAATAAAAATCTTTTATAGCCTTTAAATTTTTTTAAATCATTTTACATTTAAGAGTGACACAAACGAAGAAAAAATATTCTGTGATATCATCATAGTTTACAGGCATAACCATTCATATACCCACTATCTAGTCTTATTTCACTATTAACTATCATACGATTTTTGTATACAGAAAGATGATTTTTAAAAAGTAATAAACAAATATTCTTTTATATTTAATCTTTATTAGGGCAATCAATTTTCTAAGAAAAATAATAATCGCAATAAAAATGTTCTGATGATGATTATTTCCTCCGATTTTATAAATTTTATTAACTATCGTTACCCTTTATATCTATTAATTTAATAAATATAAACAAATACTTACGTTAAAAATACCACCAAAAACAATCTCATGGCTATCGAATGTCTATAACGACTGAATTGTGAACAATTTTGACAAAATGTATCGCTATTTCATGTTTACATTATAATAATCTACAATATCTACATCTGTGCTATGCATTACGTTTTATTTGGGTAGGTGCCAAATATTTCTACATGTTATAGGCGCCCATCAATAATATTAAATGAATAAGAGCATTATTCAGTAGATATTTGGATTTGGAGGATTGTCACAGGTTCAGAGAAAGATAAATATAAATGTATTAATATGTTCTATAAAAAGAGTATTATGCATTTTCGATTCATAAATTTAAAATTTGTTTCGATGGAAATGACTATCGGAGTTAAATTTAAAAAAAGGGGAAAAATTCAAAAAGTCAAAGAAGATTTTAATAAACATAATCTTATTTTTAAAGAAAGATACGAGATACTATTATAAAAAATCGTGTCATTAATCTTGCTGCTTCGGAAAGACAAAAAAATGGCCCCTCAATATATTTATGCTAGCTGATTAGGTTTGTAGCTGCCTTTTTTATATAAAATGTATTTTTTAGTGTAAAACTAGATATTATGTAAAGTTTGGCAACATCGCCAACTTCCAGATAAAAAAGTTGTTTATATATAAACTCTTGCTCTTAACAAAGAGTTTTTATTCAATTCCCACATCATATCCACTAATTATTCACTACCAGAAATTAAATTAAAAACCTTTTTGCAAAACATTTTAATTAGTCCATTTCTAATCAGTTTTCTATCAATATATACCCTATAAAACGATTATCAGCAAAATGTCTCCGTAAACGATAAATTCACTTTAAGCATTAAGCATTTCAATTAATCAAAAACAGCAGATTTACCCATACACGAAGAAAAAAAAAATAAACAACTACTTCAAAGCAAGTAGTTAATTACGGATTGCCATTATTTAAATGAAACTTCTAGAATGTAATCCACTTTCCGTTAGTTTTAAGCTAAAAAGCCGTTAAAATTTATTGGGAGCTTCTAAATGGATTTTGCTTATCGCGAGTCGTTAAAAACTGTATTATTCTCGGAGGTAATGATAAAACTTTTCCGTCTGCTTCATACATCAGGAGAAAGGCGTTTCCGTGAATATTAAGGATGTTTCATCCGTTGAATATTTTATATTTTGATAAAAAAAATTCACACGCTAGTATACAGGGCAGTAATAGAGCTGATGGTAATTGTAACGAAAATATTAAAGTGTATATTATTTCGAATTAAAATTCAATTCAAGTAATTTATTGGTATTTCTATACTAATATGTTGAGAACATTGTCAAAACAAGTTATTCCCAATTAAAATACTCTCAATCACACCAAACTTATTGGCTCTTACGAAACTGCATCCCAAAAAAATGTTTCCTACCTGATTCAAAAAAGGTCACAACGAAATTGCATCCCCATTAGGTAAGGGTCACTTATCGTAGGCTAAGCAAATTTAGCTGTAAAATTGAGCCATTGTTGCCATCTTTTGAGTTGTTTATTAAAAATTCTACAAACGTTCAGTAAAATTTTCAGAAAATCGGATTTATATTTAGGATTTTTAAAAAGAAGTGAAGATCTAGCATTGCAGGGGAAGGTTTGCCTATATTGAACCGCCTCCTAAATTGGACCACCGCCATATTTGAATGAACAAGCGTGAGGGTAGCGACATCTTTGACATCCTCATTGACTCTTGTTTCAAAGTCGTTATTACAAGAGAATTCGCCGCCGTTAATCCACGTTTCGCCTCCCTACGACGTGTTAGAATTACTTGTAATGTTTATGTATTTAAATGTTGGAATTTGTGTCAATATGAAGTGCTACAATAATCAAAATACATTTTTACAATTTTATATTAGACGGTTGCCTAATGTCAAGGGCATGATCCAATATAGGCTATCAATATTTTACTTTGTTCCAGAATGTCTTCCAATTATAGAAAAGGCAAATGGAGGAAAGCAGATACGGTGAAAGCCTTAGAGGCTTACAAGGGCAAAAAATATGGTCCTAATGAAATATGCGCACTGTCCCAAAAGCGACGTTTAAACGATATTTGGACTCAACAAGTATTATAAATTAAAAATTTAAAAAAACCGACTTCAAAACCGTGCAGATGCCATCACCACATCTTAACCAAATTTATATGGGACCACTCCTGAAACACCCCCTTTCTAACAAAAAAAGAATCATTGAAATCGGACACCGTGTTAAAGAATTATCGCTGAACATACATAAAAACAAATAAAAAAAAAATATCGTGACGAATTGAGAACCTCCTCCTTTTTTGAAGTCGGTTCATGGACGAAGTTATGTCATCAGATCTGGGGGAGCTAAAGCCCTAGCCCTAGTCATATAATATATAATAGTACTAGAGGTGTACCAACTGATGTTAAGTAAAAAACTTCTGGCGAATCTATGAAAATGGATAAAATATCATATATCGATTCTAAACAAAGTTTTGCAAAATTTCAATATTGTGAATTTGTAGATATCTATTTATGGTAAAAAACTAAATTTTACGACTTGCACTTGGAAAATAATGAATACTTCAGTTTTGATTTTGACATTAACACCATATAGATTGCAATTTGCTGGGGACTTTTTCGCAGATTTCATTTTTAATATAAACACTATCATATACTATAAGAAATAAACAAATTTAAAGCTAAAAAGTAAGAAAAACTTGAATTGTAATTGATACAAATTAAAATGTAAATAATGAACACGTTGCCAAATGATGAACTGATTTTAAAACAAAATTAATAAATGAACTGAAATTAAAAAAAAAAAAATAATATAGTAAATCGGTTTTATAAAAAAGTCCTTAAATAAATATAGAGTATGATTACATATTACTATACACAAATTTTGATTCTTAAATTTGTCTTATCCACTTCTTCAAGAGCTAAAATCCGACGACGTAGTGAAATTTTGCTACTTCTGGCAACACTGAACGATATCCTACTTATAGGGACCTTCTACAAATTTCCTCGAGAGGGCGTATCACTTAGCTTGAATCGCGAATAAAGATCCTTCCAATTATATCTTCTCAAGGAAGTGTAGGATTTGGAGTGGCTTCAAGTTAGGTAAATCTCCCTCTTCTACTACTCTCAGTTTACTAAGGTGTCATTTTAGTTGGCAATGTCCAGTAAGGATCCCTGTTACAAGTGTTCTCACTACTAGAAAAATGTATATTATGATAACAGCTTAAAATACAATCTGGCTAATGTGGAACACCCCGAAAGCCTTGCCAGACTCGTCTAATGACCGTCAGGCGCGCTAAATTCGGCACGTTCGATTACTATTCCTCTCCTCGTTTAACTACCTGGCTTGTCAGGTCCGACCGAAATATGGTTTTAAAACCGAAACAGAAACCAAATTTCGGCTCCTTTCTTAGTTTCGGCCGAAACAGAAACAAAAACTTTCTTTTAAGGCAATCTCTTATTGATATTTGCAATATCTCATTGTAATCCTTGTTTTAGACTAATTAACTCGTATTATAAATTTTAGTTACATTTACTTATTACCTATTTATTTATGTGATCAAAAGAAGCCATTAATAAATTTATTGAAATGTTCACTTTAAACAAAGCAGAGAAGTTTGTGTGTACGTGCACTGTGTAGGAATGGCACCCGGCAGAGTCGCCATTGTGCCGGACACAACCAATTGTGATACGAAAACTTTTAAAAGTAGTTTGGCTGTCTGCTGCAGTTTCGGCCAGTTTTCCGCCGAAACCGAAACTATAGTCAAAACTATTATTTAAAGCCAAAGTTGGCCGAAACCGTAACCGAACCTTCGGTCGGACACTACTTGTGAGTCTGGCAGGCTTCCGTAATTGTAATTGTCAGCCAGACGTGTATTTTCACTTACGAATATTTTGAAATTTATCCTAAGTAGATGGATAATGTTCTTAAAATATCCGTGAGTGTGCAAAAATTTACTGATAATAATTTAGGCACGTTTGGTATTGGGTAAGAAAGTTTTACACCAAAATATCCAAATTTCAAAACTTGACAGACATGCATTAAAACGACTAAACTCACATTTTCAAAGGTAGCCATACCACAGAATATAAAACATATGTTTTATATGCTGTGGACATACCATGACCATTTGTCATATTTGAAGTCGTTTAGTTGACGCGAAAAATCTAATTATTATTTTACATAAAATAAATGTAGTGTATTTTTACTTAGTTATAATTGGTATTAAATAAAATATTAACCACTAAAATGGCAAATTTTTTATATGCATGAAAGAGCTGCTCAACTGTCAAAAACATTTTCAGTATTCGTTCAGGGTACCCACCAGAAGAAAAATTTCCGGAAATTTTTCTGGTTGTCATGGAAGTGTTTTAAAATAACAGCAGTTGATTGGCTATAAAATGAAGGTGTAAAATTATAATTTAATCTATCACGTGACAAATTTTCAAACCCGGGAAAATAAAAGCAAAAATATTATATTTTTTCCATTTAGAAGATATTACCAGACTCATTAGCCAATTTCGTAAATCAGACAGACTTATTATTATAAACAGTTCATGATTGTATCAATTTATATGCTCAATTTTCTGCCACACTCACTTTCCACTATCTGAGATAATCCAAACTGCTATTTTTTTAAGCTTTATGTTCTAGTTTAGTAAATGTAAAATAATTATGACTGGGAAAATAAGTGTCAGATTCAAAAATTTTGTTTTTGTCACTAAGAGAACAGTTTATTTTTCATATACACCGACTGGAAAAATGAATACGAAAAAAATTCACTGCCTCCTGAACTAAATGTAAAATTGTAGAATCAATCAAATGGCACGATTTTTTTATTTTTTAATTTCTGTTCTGAAATCTGAAATGTTTGGGTGGATGTGCGATAAATGTTCGAATTATTTTAGCCCCCCCTTAACTTCGCCCATGAGTCGGTTAAAAAGTAAAGTGGCTAACCAAGAGTAAAATCTTCGGAAGAAGCACCGTCTTTTCACCACAATTTGACGAGAGGTTGGCGGAATATAT